GGAGACCCGAAGTGGCAGACGCTACGGGAGGCCATCGCTGTCCTCCTTTGTTTGCTCGTTTGGGCAGACGAATACGCAGTTTCACAACATGTCACCATTTGGGGCGACAATCTGGGCGCCCTGACGGGCGCCGCAAATTTTAAAGGACGTAGGGCGTTGAACGCAGTCACTCGCAAAATTTCGTGGCGGAAGGCCGCGTATCGGTGGAGCTACTCGGTGGCCCACCTTCCGTCTGAGGCAAATGTCTGGGCTGATGCCCTCTCTAGGCTCGCGGCTGTCCCGCCGAAGCCCTTCCCCGAGGCACTTTTGGCCGCGCAGGCCGTTCCTTCGCCGGCGCTCGACGTGATTTGGCGGGCGCGGTTAGCGGATTGCCCGCCACCGCGCCCGGCAATGACTCAGCGCCCCGCGGGGGTGGGCGTTTAGGGCGCGGGATGTGCAAGCAGCCGCGTGCCGCGAGGTGCCCTATTAAAGATTTCGCCTCGTCTTTTATAGCTCTTCTCCTCCTTCCACTTTTCCGGCTCTTTTCTCCGTCTTGCCTTCCCCTGCCCGCTCCCTTTGCATTCGTTACCCCTGCATGTTGGCATGTCGGCGCAAAGTAGGCCAGGCTGTCATTCCGCTTGCCGACCTGTCCCTTGGGTTTCTCCCATGTGGCGGCGTCGTCGGCCGAGGGAGGACTTGGTTCCGCTAGCCTCCAACCGCTTCCGGCGGGATTTGGGGCCTAGTTTGGCGGCTGCTCCAATCGGGACCCCAGCTAGGAGCCATCCCGCTCTAGCTGGGTCTGGGGCTAGCCCAGGGGCTGGGGATGAGGCGCGTGCTGCCTCCACGGCACGGCCTGCCCCCAATGCGGTCCCTGGGCTGCGTGCTGGCGCGCCAGGCCGGCAGGAGTATTCTCGGGGAGCGGTGCCAGACCTCAGCACTGTTGAGCTGCGCCGTTCGGCATCGGTAGCTTTTTGCAATGCTGTCTACGCGGATTCGCCCCGAGAATCTGCAGCTTCAAGGGTCAGAACGTGCCGCAAGCTGCTGGAGATGTGGGGTCTAAGCCTTACCCCTCTCACTGTTGAGGCGGTCAACGCCCTAGGGGCGAGTCTCAAGGCGGGCAGGTATCGTTCCGCCCGCTTGTACCTGTCGGCTGCACGCGTGGAGGCGGAACGGCAGGGGCACGTCGTTGACCAGTGTACCGCGCGAGCCTTGAAGGACGCCGTGCGCTCCTGTGAGAGGGGCATGGGCCCCGGCTCGCAGGCTTCGCCGTTACCGTTCCTCGATCTCCATCGGCTTCCTGATGGCCCCGTTCCTTGGGTCCACGGAGGGCCAGCGAACCCGAAGCTTATGATCATCGCTGGCTCGTGGTGGCTTCTGCGCGAGGTCGAGATCTCAGGTACCAGGGCCACGTTCGTTGTCCCTTCTGGAGTTGGCGCTGACTTGCAAGTGTCGTGGAACCTGCCAGCGTCCAAAACTGACCCTGAGGCGTTGGGGGCCGTGCGCACCCATGGCTGTTGTTGCCAATCAGGGAGTTTGGGGCCAATCTGCCCAGTCCACACCTTAGCTGCACAGGCGCGGTGGTTGAAGTCACACTTTCCAGATATGTTTTCTGGCGGTTGCCCGCTTCCCCATTTGCCCATGTTCCCTGATGCTCAGGGCAGCCCATGCTCGAAGGTTGAGGTTGCTGCAACCATCGCCAAGGCGGCGGAGCTTTTGGGGCTGCCCCTGCAGGGGCCTGGCGGGGAAGAAAGGTGGACTGGACATACACTTCGCGTGACGGGCGCCCAAGGCCTCGCTCTGGCGGGTCTCGACTCTTGGGCAATTCAGCTGCTAGGCCGCTGGGGCTCGTCAGCCGTCTTAGGGTATATACGTGCTGCTCCTTTGTCTCACTCGGCACGCTGGGCGCAACAGGCGTCGCGCGGTGCTGCGGCCAGCGTTTCGGATCATGCGTCCGATGAGCCTGTCGCAAAGCGGCCTCGTAACTTTTGCGGCGCATCGGTCGCTGCACGAGGTGGCGCCGATTTGGAGACACAGGTTGCCGAGCTCGCCACCACGGTTAGCTCCCTGCGGCTGCTGTTTGAGAGGGAGGCGTCCAGCCTTCGGCAAATGTGCTTGGAGGGCCCTCCTTTTGTACAGAATCCACGTTCGTCGGTGGTGCACCGGGTGCTGGAGGGGTCGAGCCAGACATGCACTTCAGTCTGGCGGACTTGTTGTGGTTGGCATTTCGGCCTCACTGGTCACGGAAGGATGGTGTCCACGCCCGCATTTCACAAACTGATTTGCGAGAAGTGCCTTCCAGCTGAGAGGCTGGCTGCGAAGGAGGCTTTCCGTGCATCCGTCGATGCGCGTGCCCGCAGCAGTTCATAATTGCAGTGTTGGGGCGCGGGCATTCGGGGGGAGTGCCTCCCCGTCTGCCGGCAATTATGCTTCAGCGCGAGGAACTGTTGCTGCACGAGGAAAATACATATGTTTCTCCTCTGTCCTTTTCCTCCTTCCTCTTTCGCTTATTCGCATCCCGCGCCGAGGCGTGACGCAACGAAATTGTCACGAAATTCGGCTCCCAAATGCGTGATGTCCCACATTTCTGGGGCGGACTGGGAGGGCAGGCCAGCGGATTTGTTGAGTAGTGCATGTAATGCAGTAAGGAACAAAGGAGCCGGCCGATGGCATTGCTATCGTGGCCATTTGGGCTCTAGGTTCGATTTCACGTGATTTTCCCACCACATCCCTCCCTGGGGCGCGGGCATTCGGGGGGAGTGCCTCCCCGTCTGCCGGCAATTATGCTTCAGCGCGAGGAACTGTTGCTGCACGAGGAAAATATATATGTTTCTCCTCTGTCCTTTTCCTCCTTCCTCTTTCGCTTATTCGCATCCCGCGCCGAGGCGTGACGCAACGAAATTGTCACGAAATTCGGCTCCCAAATGCGTGATGTCCCACATTTCTGGGGCGGACTGGGAGGGCAGGCCAGCGGATTTGTTCCAAGCAAGAGTCCCATTTTGAAACGGAGCCCCTCTCTATCCGTGCAACAGTGGGGAGCGTGTCGCGCGAGCGTGCTCGGTGCTGCGGCGAGCGCCGCATTTTGTCAACGGTCCGCCCCCGATTCGCGTATCCGTTTCGGCCTGTTCGAGCAGCGAGCGCGCCAAAAGCATACGACATGTTGAGCATGGTGTGCTTTCCGTCCGCGTGTCCTCTGGACGTCTCAAGCTGCATGATCGCAGCCGGTGGTGATGCATCCTTTCAGTCAGGAGGGGAAGAACACACACAGACACAATGAATCGTCGATTGCCCAGAAAATGTTGGAAAATATGGGAAGTGGGGGGGAAGACGAAAACCCCAAACAAATGGGAAAATATGGAGGATCTTCTTGGTTGTGTGTATTTATTTGTGTGTCCTGGGGCCCCTTCTTTAAGTTCCAGGCCTCATGATCACTGTTCCAGAGGAAGTCTCGGGCGAGGGGCGCGGCCCACCCTACCAGCACGTGAGGTGGTTCGACAGCAGTTGCTCACAGGAGCAACTATTAGGGGAGGGATGGGGGAGGCGCAACAGAGGACGAGAAAGAGGGCGGGAGGAGGATGCACAGAGTACGGTGCAGGGAGGAGAGGGAGGATGACTCGACGATGAAATGGGAAAGAGGGGGAGGAGGAGGATGAGGAGGCGGATGATGATGATGATGATGATGATGATGATGATGATGATGATGATGATGATGATGATGACGATGATGATGATGATGCTGATGATGATGATGATGATGAAGATGATGAAGATGATGAAACTGATGATGATGATGATGATGCTGATGATGATGATGATGATGATGATGATGATGATGATGATGATGCTGATGATGATGATGATGATGATGATGATGATGCTGATGCTGATGATGGATGATGATGATGATGATGATGATGATGATGATGATGATGATGATGATGATGATGCTGATGATGCTGATGATGATGATGATGAGGATGAGGATGAGGATGAGGATGAGGAGGAGGAGGAGGAGGAGAAGGAGGAGCATAACGGAACTGAGTTGATGTTCCGTTGCAGGCCACCGCAACACATAGGTCGATTGTTGCATTCTCCGCCGCTGCCATGCGGTGTGAGGAGGAGGACGAGAAGGAGAAGGAGGTGGATGAGGACGAGGACAAGGAGAATGAGGAGGAGGAGGAGGTGGAGGAGGGATCTGAAGATGCAGTATATGAGGCAAAAGGAGGAGGTTGAGAATGTTGAGGGAGTGGGAGGGCGAGGATGAAGGAGGATGGTGAGGATGATGAGCAAGAGGAGGAGGAGAGGAGGAGAGGGGTAAGGCTACATGGCAGGAACAGGAGGGAGGATATATGGCGGATATATGGCAGGATGAGGAGGAGGAGGAGGAGGAGGAGGAGGAGGAGGAGGAGGAGGAGGAGGAGGAGGAGGAGGAGAGGAGGGGGAGTGAAGGAGGGTCAGGAGGACGGATGGGGTAGGGCAGGAAGAGGAGGAAAAGAAAACAACTCAGGAGAGAGGAGGACAAAGACAAGGAGGAGCAGGAGGAGGAGGAGTCTCCTCATCACTCCCTCATTCCTCTCCGCGCCTCCTTCGTCATCTCTCCTTGCCCCTCCTCCCCCTTCCCCCTCCATCCTGTGGACGACGAAGCCGATGCCTACGACGAGGACGAGTTGGAGGAAGGTGACGACGACACCGAGGATGGCGCCGCCGACGACGGCGGCAACGACGACTCCGCTTCCCGCGACTTTGTTTTCGATGCCGATGCCCGAAGACCGGCCGCCAACAGAGGCCCGAAGCGGTCAACCACTGGGTTTCTTGACGATCGCGGCGACGTCGCTGGTGGCAGCGGCGATTCTTCTTTCGACGACGGCGACAACGTCGACGACGACGTCGAGGACGACGACGACGACGAGGACGACGACGACGACGACGAGGACGACGACGACGACGACGGCGACGGCGACGGCGCCGGCAGGACCCGCCAGGGCCGACGACGACGACGACGGCGACGGCGACGGCGCCGGCAGGACCCGCCAGGGCACCCTGGTCACCAGCGGGGAGGCGCGGCCGCCCCCCGCTTTTGGGGGCTGACGGCGTCGGTCAGGAGCGGAAGGAGACTGAATCACGCGTGCGTGCCTGTCTCTGGGTTTTCGGGGTGTGCAGTGCGCGAGCGTTCCTACCCCAAGGCCGGCCTCGCGGACTCGGGGCCGCATTCATGTACGCGGCTGGGCGCGTTCGTCCGTTGTGGGCTCCCTACATAACACGGTGGGGGTTAAGCAGAGGGGGAATCAGCGGTCTGGCTGCACGCAGCCCGTTTTCCTGGTGCCAGAGGCGGCCACGTGCATACCGTCCTTCAGGTCCAGGCGGGCGACGCAGCAGAAATAGCGACGGCGGGTTTGGGTTTGGACGTGTTCGCGTGTTCGGCCTCTGGAGGCCGCTCCCAGGCTTCAGGACCGTCAAACAGCCGGCTCATGATGAAGAGCCAGCGTCAGCTGCGCACAGAGGGGGGTCGGAGGACGGGTGGGGAAGGCTTCTTAGAATCACCGCTGCCTCTCAGAAGGCACGGGCCTCATCTGTAGATGTAAGGCCGGCACTGTCCAAGAGGCAGCCTCTTTCTAAGCAGGCTCCCTCCTCCCCCTACCCTTCGGTCAGGCATGCCCCCCTACAGGCGGATGCTGTTCGGAAGTAGGCAAAATGCTCGCACGATCGTCCCCAGACTACTCCAGACTTCGTAGTAAAAGGGAGGGGGTCTGGACCCTAAGACAAGCCATTTCAGACCTCCCCCGTGGGAGAACCCTCCAAAACATCGTCCCCAGACCCCCCAGGCCCTCCAAGATAGCCTGGAAGAGACCCCCCCCGAAATGAGACCCCCCTCCCTTTATTACGAAATCTGGACTATCCTTCTGGACCAGTCTCGAGGCTTCCTCCTGCAGAGGGACGTGCCCGACTCGGGCCTGCCCCCCCCTGGTGCGCGCCTGCCGAGGCGAGATCCCCGGGGGCCCGCGGCACGAGCAGCGCCAGAGCACAGGGGGCGGAGAGGGGGCCCAGCGGCGGAGCCGAGACCAGCGGCGTGCGGGGGCAGAGCCACGCACCACCCACCAAACACCACCCCAAACCCAACCCGAAGGCTCAGATGTACCCTCGATTTCCAGTGGGGGGGGGTCGGGACACCTCGAAAAAAAACACGTGTGGAGCCCTTTTACCCCCCCCCCAACCCGAAATTCGGGTCTTCGGGTTGGGTTGGGGTGGTCTGGTAGGTAGTCAGCCACCACTCGGGAGGGCCGCCGGGTGATCGTTTTTTATTCATCGTTTTGCCGATCGGCGCGGGCCCCCAAAACCCCACTTCCCCCCCTATGGAGTACAGTCAACCAGTATTACAAAAAAGGATGCGCGAGAAGGATGCAAGGGCCTTGTACGTACATTGCGAAGCTTTTCGAGCGGGGCGCGGCCGACGAAACTGGCGAAGGATGGACCGAGGAGGCAAGGATGCCATGGTACCCTTGGGAAGGTTGCCCGTCCTTGCTATGCGGGTTGACTGTAGATCTTGTCTGTTTTGGGCGCCTGTTTCGAGCAAGTGGAGCCTTCCCCCCATCGGACGCACTGCTGCAAACAGTCGCACTATAAGCAGAGGTCCGGAGCCAGACCCCCACCCTCTTGCCTTCCGCCGAATGTCGGAAGAAGCGCCGAAGAATAAAACGCTCACGAGCACCTCCTGAGAATCGAGCATCCAGGGTCGAGAAGATTGATGGGCCTGTTTTCCACCACCATAAGTGGGAGGGGGAGGGGGTCCTCGGTCCTCCTCCTCCTCCTCCTCCACCTCCTCCTCCTCCTCCTCCTCGTCCTCCTCCTCCTCCTCGTCCGCCACCTCCTTCCCCCCTCAAAGATTTTTGGTGAATCGAAGAAGAGAACACGCCACAAACATAAACTTTTGGCGCTCCGCGCGGATTTCTTGGATCCGCGCTGCGGCGTTCAACTTTGAACGCCGCGGGCGACCCAAAATCGTTCGATGTGGAACGATTTGGACGTTTCGGAAACAGCCGATCGTTCAAGGTTGAACGATCCCCGCGGTGTCAGAAACCAGCGCCGAAGTCGGCACGACACGAACCTGACGTATGGCGTTCTGCCTTCTTATAGAGAAGATTTTGGTGAGTCTCGGTTGTTTCGGGAATATTTTTTGGGGGGCCTCTGGGGGCCCAGAGGGGTCGTCCTCGAGGCTGCGGCGACGACCCCCCGGTGGCGACCTCCCGTTGGCCTTGCGCCGGTGCGGATCAGACTGCGTGCTCGCCCCCTCCCCGATCCCCCCCTTTTTCGCGCCGGCATCTGCCGGCAGGCCCGCACGATCCGCGGACCCTCGAGACCGAGACGCGCAGGATCGATCATGGAAGCCCTCCGTCCTCGAGAGCCTCGGGGCCCTCTATCCTCGAGATCGGCCGAGCTCCTCGACACGCTCGATCCCCTCGCCCAGCCCGCCCCCCGCCAGCGCCCCGCGGCCCCCCGCCCCCGCCGGATCTTGCCAGCCGTGCCCTTCGGACCCCTTTCGCAGCCGCTGGCCTCCCAGAAGCCTTCCTCGGGCACCGCGGCCTTCGTCGTCGTTGCCGCCGCAGTCAGCCGTTGTTGTTTCTGTTGTCGTCATCATCGCCGTCGTCTTCGCCTCCGCCGCCGTCATCGCCTTGCCGCGGAGGCGCAGCTGGCCCCCAGGGTGACCCCTCGCGTCGTCGTCGTCGTCGTCGTCGTCGTCGTCGTCGTCGTTGTCGTCGCTGCCACGGCCGCGGCACTGCGGCAGCGTGGACCCCCCTCTCGGGGCCCGCGGTCCTCCGCGAAGCCGTGGTCCTCGGTGGCGACATCGACGGCGTCGCCCGCGGGGGCGCCGTGCGGGAGTCGAGGACGCGGAAGAGGTGGACGCGGAGGAAGGTGGCGGCGAGGTCGAAGCCGGTTCTGTACCGACGACGTCGGGGGGCGACGACGTCATCTTCGTGTCGCGCTTCTTTCCCCAATTCAGCTTTGCCAAAGGGGTACTTGTTTGTTCGTGGCAAATCGGTTGGTGCGGGGCCTTTACCGACCGTCGTTCCTTAGGGCCTCTCGGGGTTTCTCTGTGCTCGGGATTCATCGGGCACCTTTTGATTTGACAAGGCGAATCGATGCACGGAAGGCTCAGAGAGGATGGGAGGCCGAGGGAATGTGTCTTTCCCGTCAGCCGAGCACCTTACAGTCAACCCGCATTATAAGGTATAAGGATGCGCGACTTTCCAAGGTTAGACATGCATCCCCCTTCTGCCCATCCTTGACAGCTTTCGCTAGATTTGCCCCGCTCGCAGGGTGTCGACATGGCCTGACAAGGCCTGTGCATGCTTCTCATGCGTCCCTTTTTTTCGAGGAAGCGTACGGCTCGAGTACGCCGGGCCTCGGGTTTGCCGACGCCTTTTGACGAGCGTTTTCTGGATTTTGACGGTCCAGATTTAGTGAGATGTTTTCAGCGGTAATTCGCGTTAAATTTCAGACTGTGCCTCGTCATTTTCATGATGGTCACCCGAAGGGCCCCCCACGAGGGCTGCCCCCTTGGGGGGCCACGGCGCTTGCTGTTGCCCGTCGCTCCTCCTGCGGTGGTCGCAGGAGGAGCGGTGGGGTCTGGTCAGCAGGCGGGCCTGCCGAATTGAGGGTCAGAGGAGGAACGCCAGGCCTCCTAGATGGGGTCTGAGTAGATGGGGTCGGAGGATCGCGCCGCATGGCCGTTGCATTGCCGATGCATCACCGATGCGCTTCGATGTGGAGTCCGATGTTCCCCACGACGACGGCGCGGATGCATCCCCGACGTTGCCGATGCCATCGCCGATGCGTCGCCGATGTATCGCCGACGTATCGGCGATGCGGCGCGATCCTCCGACCCCTTCTACTCGGACCCCATCTATGAGGCCTCCAGATACCGGTACCCTTGACTCGTTTTCCTCTTTCTGGGCCTCCTGGGAGGCCCTCATCGTCACCCCTGGATTCGCCTCGAAATCCTGGTCGGAGCAACCCGGAGAGAGGTCCGGGGAAGGAGGAGGAGGAGGAGGAGGGGAGGAGGAGGAAGAGGAGAAGGAGGAGGAGGAGGAGGGGAGGAGGAGTTGAGGAGGAGTTGAGGAGAAGTTGAGGAGGAGGAGGAATAGGAGGAGGTGGAGCGGTATCGGTTCCTGTTGGTTTCCCCAGGCGGTGCCCTCGTGTCTTGTCCGTCGCGCTCGATGTCCTCTTCAAGTCTGGAGAGCACGGGCTGCCCTCGGAGGCGGGGCGTGTCCTCTCGGGCAGAGCCTCCGCAGTCAGTCCCTGATTGTGTGCAGAAGGGGGGGGGCTCTCCCGGTCGCGCTGTTTGTGGGCCAATTCCTGTTTCTCCTCCCCACCTCTCCTCCCTCTCCTCCGTCTCCTCCTGCTCCACCTCCTCCATCCCCTCCCTCTCCTGCCTGTGGTAGTGGTGTTGGGAAATCGGCCCATCAACTGTCCGCCTCCTTCTTTCCAGGGCCGTGCCTCCCTTGGTCCCCGCCTTCGCCCTCGGTGCTTCTGCCGATCCTTTTCCCTGCTGCTCCCCGTCCTCCCCTCTCCTGAAGAAAAATAACGGCTACGTAACCATGACCTCTCTGATGTCGGGCGGGTTTTTTGGATCGCGCAGGGGGTGCGCCGGGGGCGGCGCCAGGGGGGTCAAGCGCCGATCGAAGAAATGCGCGCGGACCCCAGATTTTTTATTGTTTATGTAGTTTTTGTGTCTTCCGCTCCCTCTTCCCCTTCCCCCGCCCCCCCCCCCGCGCCTCCGCGCGGGGGCGACTTGTTCCTCCGCCCTCCTCCTCCGTCCTCTGTGGTCCTTCTTCCTCCTCCGTCTTCCCTCGTCCTCCTCCGTCCTCCCTCCGTCCTCCCTCCTCCTAACTTTTTATATGTCTCGCACTGCATGTATCCAGACACCTCAGATCCTAGAGGCCATGGCCTCAACCACCTGGTCTGCTCCAGGCCCGGACGCTGTCCGCAACGGTGGTCGCATCGCATCGCATCCTCCTAGTCCTCCTCGTCATCATCATCATCATCATCATCATCATCATCATCATCATCATCATCACCACTTCTCCTTCTGACGTTAGGGAACCTTGGATCGACTGGGATCTGAGCGTCAGGATGGCACACACACACACTTTTTGTGTCGGCGGCTAGGCAGAGTCACTGCGCTGGCGAAAGCAAAGGCCACGCACAGACGCACGCACGCACGCACGCACGCACGCACGCGCGCACGCACACACACACACACACGCACACACACACAAACACACCCACACGCCAACCGACGCACCCGCCCACGCACCCACCCACCCACCCACTACCCACCCACCCACCCACCCACCCCCGCGCGCACGCACGCACGCACGCACGCACGCACACCCACCCACCCACGCAGCCACCAACCCACCCACCCACCCACCCACGCACGCACGCACGCACGCACGCACGCACCCACCCACCCACCCACCCACCCACCCACCCACCCCCGCGCGCGCGCTCGCACGCCGCACGCACGCCCACCCACCCACCCACCCCCGCGCGCGCGCTCGCACGCACGCACGCACGCACGCAGCACGCACGTACACGCACGCTCACGCACGCACACGCGCACACGCGCACACGCGCGCACGAACACACGCGCACACGCACACACGCACACACGCACACACGCACACACGCGCACACGCGCACACGCGCACACGCGCACACGCGCACACGCGCACACGCGCACACGCGCGCACGATCACGCACACGCGCACGCACACGCACACGCACACGCACACGCACAAACACACGCACACGCACACGCAGACGCACACGCGCACGCGCACGCGCACACGCACATACACCTACACGCACACGCACATACACATACATGCACACGCACACACACACACCCGCACACGCACACACCCGCACACACCCGCACACACGCGCACACACGCGCACACACGCGCACACGCGCACACACGCGCACACGCGCACACGCGCACACGCACACGCAAACGCACACGCACACCCAGACCCACACCAACATCCACACGCACTCGCACACGCACACGCAAAAGCACACGCACTCACACGCACACGCACACGCAAAAGCACACGCACACGCACACTCACACGGACACAAACACAAACACAAACACAATCTTTCAAACGCAAACACAAGCACGAGCATGAGCACAAGCACAAGCACAAACACATTTTTTTCGTCAGCGGCGGGGCGGCGAACTCCGCTCCCATTACAAGCTAGATAGGGGCCCTACCTAGCGAATTCGCCGGCGAGCAAATAGGGAAGGGGGGCTGGCCGAGAGGATGACGAAACGTTCAGACGCCGAAGAGTTGGATGATGAGCAGCCGTGGGGGCAGCAGCAGCCAGGCGCGGACACAAACACACACACAAACGCAAACACAAACACAAACACAAACACAAACACAAACACAACCACAACCACAAGCACAACCACAACCACAAACGCAACCACAACCACAAACGCAACCACAACCACAAAAACACAAACACAATCACAAACACAAGCGCCAGCACAAACACAGACACACACACAAACACAATACATGTAAAACCAAACATAAACAGACAAACGCAAACACAAGCACACACAAACACCACCCCGACCACAAACACACACAAATCAAAACACGAACACAAACACCAACACACACTCAAACGCAAACACACATACACACATACACGCATACACATCGAACGGCATGGCATGGAAACCGGGTTCAAGCGTTGTGGCCAACAAACTGCCTTGCGCGCCAGGGCAGAAAGAACTCTCCTCCTCCTCCTCCTCCTCCTCCCCCTCCCCCTTTCCCTCGCTGCCGCTGCCGCTGCAGACAGAACACTCCACGCCCTCATCCTCGCTGGAGACTATGCCTTTATTGCTTGGGGCGTGACGGGCTTCATGGCCCCCCCCCCTTTATGACGTAACGCAACGCTCCCCCCCTGTGCGCTGCCGGCACTGCCGCCGTGCGCACTGGGATCCGCGTAGGTGTCCGCGTAGGAATCCGAACGGGAGTCTGGTCCGCAGTTGTCGTCGTCGTTGTCGTCGTCGTCGTCGTCGCTCGTGGCTTGCCGCTCGTCGCTCATAGTCGTCGTGCGCGCGGACGCGGCTGAAGCCTTGTTTTGTTTTGTTTTTTATTCTGGGCCGATGACGGCAATTATCTGAGGGGGTCGACGACGTCACGTTTCGCACCGGCGGCGTTTGGGAGTGCTTAGAAATGACGGACGACGGGTATCGCCAGCATTTTGAAGGCGATTTGCACCACAACGCCTGTGTACACCGCAGTGCCTGCGTGAACCACAGCGCCTGTGTACACCACACCACATATGTACACGACAGCAGCCGCGTGCAACACAGCGTCAGTTTGTGCCACCGTGCTTTCGGGTACAACAGCTCTTGTGCACACCACAGCGCGTGCGTACACCACATCAGCCGTGTGCAACACAACACCAGTGTACACCACAATGCCTGCGTGCACTGCAGTGCCTGTGTGAACGGCGCTTGTGTACACCACAGCAACCGTGTGCAACACAGAACCACTGTTGTATATAGAATGTTCGATCGAATCCTTATGACAAAATGGAGCGCTTGAGGCTTGCACATAATACAATATATATATATATATGTATACATATATAAATATATGTATAAACAACGGAGCGCCGCTGGAATCTACGAGTCCTCACGAGTCCGCCCGCGTCACCCCAACTCCTCCCGCCTGCGTCCAGGGGGCTCCAGCCAAATTGGCCGTCCGAGAGCCAACTGGACCGATTCAATACAACATTGTGCGGTGCGCGCTGCGATACGCACGTGCGCTGTAGCGCCAATCCGCACGACAGGGGGTAAAGAGGAGGAAGAGGAGAAACATGAGGAGGAGGAGGAGGTGGTGGTGGCGGTGGAGGTGGAGGAGGAGGGGGAAGGGAAAAACGTCGCATTCGATTATCAGCAGTTTCTTGGCGTGGCGTCCAGTTGTCCGCAGCAAATCTTCACGTACATGTTCATTCTACCTGTCCTATGCACGCAGGCATTCTGGTGTACACCAGCGCTGCGTTGCACGCGGATGCTGTGGTCTAGACACGCGCTGTGGCGTTCACAGGCGCTGCGGTGCACGCGAGCACTGTACTGTGGTGTGCACAGGCGCTGTGTTGCACATGGTAGCTGCGGTGTGCACGTGTACACCGGCGCTGTAGTGTACGCAAGCATTGTGGTGTACACAGGCGCTGGGTTGCACACGGTTGTTGCGGTTTACGCAAGCGTTGTGGTATACACGTGCGCTGTGGTGCACGCGAGCGTTGTGGTGTACACAAGCGCAGTGGGGCATATCGCCACCTACATGCTGCTCGCGTCGTCGTCGTCGTCGTCGTCGCTCGTCGCTCGTCGCTCGTCGCTCGTCGCTCGTCGCTCGTCGCGTCGCTCGCGCGGGCGCGGCTGCGGTGCGTTACGTCATACCCCCTTTGCCGCCCCACCCCCCATGACGCCCGGCATCGCCGAACATAAAGAAACGCTCTCCTGCCGTTGTCGCTCCGCTGCTGCCGCCGAGGTTCCAGCGCACTCTCACGGGGCGGTTCCCCCCCCTGCGGCAACACCGGCTGCTGCGGCACACGACTTCGGCCGACGACGGCGACGGCGACGGCCGCGACGGGCGATGGCGGCCGGCTGGCGGCGGCCAGCGATGGCGATGGCGACGGCAGCGACGGGCGAGGGCGACCGACGGGCGGCGAGCGCTCTCCGCGGCGACCTCCCCGCGGGCGAGGCCGCCGGCAGCGGCCAGGGCTGGCGCCTGCACGACGAGGCCCGCGCCGGGCGCTGCGACCTGGCGGGCGGCGGCGCGCTTGCGGCTCGGCGGAGGCGGCGGCGAGGACGACGTGGGCGAGGACGATGACGAGGACGATGGCGGCCGACGTCGGCGGCCTGCGGCGGCCTGCGGCGGCCTGCGTCCACGGCGGCGGCGGCGCCTCGCGGTGGCCGACGGCGTCGCGCGGCACCTGCCGCCGCTCTGGGGCCCCCGCGCGGCCCAGGCCTCCGCGCCAAGCCTGGCCGCGCCCGGCGGCACTACCCCTCCCCGTAGGACGGGGGGCACGGAGAGGCCAGAGCCCCGCGGGACTTCGGGCCGACCTACTGGGGCCAGGCCAGGCCCCCCCCCCAGACACACACACACACACACACACACACACACACAAACACACACACACAGACACAGACACAGGCACAGGCACAGGCACAGGCACAGACACACACAGACACACCACACACACACACACACTACACACACACACTCACTCACTCACTCACTCACTCACTCACTCACACACACACCACACACACACACACACGCACGCACGCACGCACGCACGCACGCACGCACACACATACACACACACACACAGGGACGAGGTACCACGACGGCCGCACGGTGCCGCCGCGGCAAGCTGTGGGCTCTCTCCAGGCCTCCGATGCCGTCGTGTTTGTTTTGTTTTGCCTCACGACGAACAACGAGCAACGTGGCCCCAGGAAGTTTACAGGCACGCCTGCGAAGCAGCTGGGGGTGTGGAGGCCCTTCCAGCGCTTTGGCAGGACACCATTTCTTCGGCCACGGCGTGGCATGGCGCAGTCAGCAAGTACTGCGATGCCACGTGATAGTGGCTATGTGCTCATGTGCGTTTCGTACTCACGACGTGGACCCCGCGCAGTGCAGGCGCCCCTGGGGTTCTGGAGGCCCCTGGAGCCTCTGGGAACCCCAGGGGGCCCCCGATGGCCTCGACCGCCTCAGCAGGGCTCCTGGGGCTGCCACCCAGGATCCCCGAAGGCCTCCGAACTCGAAGAAGACACAACACGTCACAAACACGGCGCTCCGCGCGGATTTCTTGGGTCGGCCCTGGGCCCCCCCGGCGGCGCTTCCGTCGCCGCCCCTGGCGCGCTCCGCGCGCCAGGGAGGGGGTCCAGCGCAGATCCGAGAACTCCGCGCGGAGCGCCCACTGTTTGTGTTCATGCGGTTGTTCCTCCTTCTGGTCTCCCAGGGCCCTCGAGGGCCCCCGGGGGGCGACCGGGTGTTACTGTGGCCCGTTGGGTGTTAGTGTGGCCCGTTGGGTGTTAGTGTGGCCCGTCGCGCGGCGGGATGGGAGTTACTGTGGCCCGCGCAGGCCGCTCAATGAAAGTAATATGTAAAGGTATCTCATGTTAGATCTGGAGAGATTCGCAACCCTTAAGGGAATGCACTCCCGCGCAGGCAAAAGTGGCCACAGTAACTCCCATCTGGAACCTACGTGGTAGTAGTGCTGTGTTAGTGGTGTGGTTGTCGCTGTGCTATGTTAGTGGTGTGGTGTTGGTAATGTTGTGTTAGTGGTGTGGTGGTGGTAGTGGCGGGTTGTGCTTTATGCTGTGTTATTGGTATGGTCTTGGTAGTGGTGTGCTGTGTTAGTGGTGTGGTGTTGGTAGTGTTGTGTTAGTGGTGTGGTGTTGGTAGTGTGGTTCGGTTACTAGTAGGTAGTAGTGTTGTGGTAGTGGCAGTGGTGCTGTGGTAGTGGTGTTGCGGTAGCGGTGTTGTGGTTGTGGTATTGTGTAGCGGTGTTCTGGTGTTGTGGTAGCGGTGTTGTGGTGTTGTGGTACTGGTATTGTGGTAGTGGTGCTGTAGTGTGGTAGTACTATGTTGCTGTAGTGCTGGTGTAATATCATTCATAGGGAGTACTATCCTACGGAGTACTAGCCGCAGGGAGTGCTCGCCCCAGGGAGTACCAGTCCTAGGAATTACTACCCCTAGGGCGTACTCGTCCAAGGGAGTACTCGTCCTAGGGAAGACTCGCACTACGGAGTACCAGCCCTAGGGAATACTAGTCCTAGGGAGTGCTAGTCCGAGGGAGTGCTAGGAAGTACTGTCGCTAGGGAGTGCTAGCCCTAGGAAGTACTGGCGCTAGGGAGTGCTAGCCCGAGGGCGCCAGGGACGACGAGAAGAAGAAGAAGTAGTAGTAGTAGTAGTAGTAGTAGTAGTCGTAGTAGTAGTAGTAGTCGTAGTAGTAGGAGTAGTAGTAATAGTAGTAGTAGTAGTAGTAGTAGTAGTAGTAGTAGTAGTCGTAGTAGTCGTAGTCGTAGTCGTAGTCGTAGTCGTAGTAGTAGTAGTAGTAGTCGTCGTCGTCGTCGTCGTCGTCGTAGTAGTAGTTAGTAGTAGTAGTAGAGTCGTAGTAGTTCGTAGTAGTGTAGTCGTAGTAGTAGCGTAGCGTAGTCGTAATATAGTAGTAGTAGTAGTAGTAGTAGTATTCGTAGTCGTCGGTCATCGTCTTCGTCGTCGCCGTAGTAGTAGTAGTAGTAGTTAGTAGTAGTAGCAGTAGTAGTAAGGAGTAAGTAGTATCAGTAGTAGTATAGGTAATAGTAGTAGTAGTTAGTAGTAGTAGTAGTAGTAGTAGTAGATAGTAGTAGTGGTAGTAGAAGTAGTAGTAGTAGTAGTAGTAGTAGTAGTAGTATAGTAGTAGTAAAGTAGTAGTAGTAGTAGTAGTAGTAGTAGTAGTAGTAGTAGTTAGTAGTAGTACTACTAGTAGTCGTAGTAGTCGTTGTAGTAGTAGTAGTAATAGTAGGAAGTAGTAGTTGAGTCGTAGTAGTAGTTAGTAGCAGTAGAGTAGTAGGTCGTAGTAGTAGTATAGTAGTAGTAATCATAGTAGTAGTCGTAGTAGTAGTAGTAATAGTAGTAGTAGTAGTAGTAGTAGTAGTAATGTAGCAGTAGTAGTAGCAGTAGTAGTAGTCGTAGTCGTGGTGTGGTAGTAGAAGTAGTAGTAGTAGTAGCAGGACTAGTGAGCTAGTAGTAGTAGTAGTATAAATCGTGTAGGAGGAGTAGTAGTAGTAGTAGTAGTAGTAGTAGTAGTAGTAGTACTCAGTAGTAGTAGTTAGTAGTAAGTAGTAGTAGTATTTGTAGTAGTAGTAGTAGTAGTAGTAGTAGTAGTAGTAGTAGTAGTAGTAGTAGTAGTCGTAGTAGTAGTAGTAGTAGTAGTAGTAGTAGTAGTAGTAGTAGTAATAGTAGTAGTAGTAGTAGTAGTAGTAGTAGTAGTAGTAGTAGTTGTTAGTAGTGTAGTAGTCGTAGTAGAGCCCAAGAGGCTCTTCGGAGAGCCCAAGAAGCGCTTCGGATGCCCCAAGAAGCTCTTCGGAGGCCCCACGAGGCTCTGCGGAGAGCCCAAGAGGCTCTTAGGTGGCTGCAGGAAGGTCTTCGGGGGCTCCAAGAGGCTCTTCGGAGAGCCCAAGAGGCTCTTAGGTGGCTGCAGGAAGGTCTTCGGGGGCTCCAAGAGGCTCTTCGGAGAGCACCAGAGGCTCTTCCGAGAGGCTCTTCAGTGAAGGGGGGGGGGGGGCGGAGCCTTTTTGGACCCCCCCCCCTCTTCACCGTACTCGATAATTAATACACTCCGGAAGACCCCTGGCCATACTAACACCCACCGGGCCGCAGTAACAACCAACGGGCCGCAGTAACACCTTATCTCCCCCGGGGGGCCCCCGAGGGCCCCCGAGGGCCCCGCCCCTGCCCCGGCGCCTCGAGGGCCGCTTCGCCCTGGCCGGCGACGCCTCCATCGCCACGGCCGTGGCCGGCGAGGAGCACGATGACCACGGCGGGGGCGAGGGCGCCTTGGCTTCGCCGCCGCCTGCGCCGCCGCCGCCGCCGTTCCAGCGGCCCCTGCCGATCCCGACCCAGAGATCCAACGCTCCAAAATTGGCCTGGCGAAGGGCCCAACATCAGCGTCAGGGGATGGGGAGGCCAGGTGCGGTATCGTCACATCTGACGTCGTACCCCATCCCTCCCATCCCTTCCCATGGCGAGGATCTCCCATCTATTCGCACAGCCAGACGTCGAGCAGGGCAGTGATCCCAAGAGGGTACGCGATGGATGGAAAAGCGTGGCGTAGAAGAGCACGGCAGAGCATAGCATGTCATATAGTGGCGTTGCATTGCGTAGTGAAGCATTGCATCACAAAGCATATCATCAGGTCGGGCATGTCTTCCCACAGGCTGACTTGCGGAGAAACAAAATAGCCAACCAATCTTCAAAAATAGACCAACAATAATCTACATTGTATGTTTGCTGTTTGTTCTCACTACTTTTCAATGTTCCTCCTGGACATGCCCGCCTGAAGCGCAGTGAAGCCTTGCACATCGCAGAGCACATCAGCGCGGGGGGGGGGGGAGGGGCCTCCCTATGGACAGCCGAGGCGGGAACGGCGAGGGGGCGGCCGCGGCCGGAGTCGGCATCGGCCGGGTTCGGCATCGGCCGGGGTCGGGATCGCCTGAGGCCCCCCGACATTCAGGCGATCGCAAGCATGGATCAAGGGGGCGTGGATTAGCGACGGGTCCCGTTTCCGAGGAAAATTGCGGATTTCCGCCGCCGCACGAGGCGGCATCAGCCGCATTTTGGGGAGGGCGCCTCCCCCGATCCATGGATTTGGCGACCGCGCGCCAAATCCATGGATCGCTAATCAATGTTTGCGCGCCCCCGACAGACATCCGGCTGCTCCAATTGTTCGATGCGTGGGCCAGATTCGGGGAAACGTAAGGCTCGAGTTCGCCGGAACTCGGCGATTGTCCACGTTGTCTGGCGAGCCCGTCCTGGATGTTGACGGTCAAGTTTTCGTCGGATGTTTGCAGCGGGAGCTCGCGTCAAATTTCAGATTGGGGCTCGTCATTTCCCTGATGGCCCCGTCGGGCCAACCCGAGTCCTCCGAACCCGAGTCTGACGTCTCCCCGACAAATCCCAGAGGCCGCGGCCTCACCCACTCGGTCCTCACCGGTGGTCGGTTGTCGTTCGCTCCCAGGCGTCATGGCTGCTCCAATTTGTTCGATGCGTGGGCCCGGCAGGCCTGGACCTCTTTCCTGGGCCCGGAGCCCGGCGAGGGCCCCCGTGGGCCCCAAAACAGCCCCCCAACAAAAAACAACGCCCGCTCCCATCGGGTGATCTGGCGAGGAGAAGGCCCCGCGAACGCTGTGGTTCTGCGACGTGCAACCCTCCGCCTTTTCCTCCACGCCCAGCTTCTCCTCCTCCTCCTCCTGTCTCCTCCTCCTCCTCCTCCTCCTCCTCCTCCTCCTCCTCCCCCTCTGGAGCGTCGGATCTCTAGGTTCCTTGGGGCCCCAGGCCGCCCGCCGGTTTGAGCAAGTTCGGGGCGGAGGTCTTCCATCCGCCCCGGCAGCACGGGGGTCCCATCTTCGGGCGCCGCGGGAGAGGTCAGGAGAGAGGAAAACACACAGACACAGTCAGTCCTCGATTCCTAGGAAAGATAGGCAAATATGGGAAGTGGGTGGGAAGGGGCGAACACAGGAAATGTTATCAAATATGGGGAATCCAGAATCCTGGGCCCCCTCGAGATGGCTCGGGACGACGAGCCCCTGGGGGGAAGGGGAGAGAGCCCGCCCTGGGAAAAGGGGCCCGGAAGATCAGGGAGTGTTGTTTTCTTTGCCCTCTGGGCCGTAGCGCGAGTGATGCCTTTCCCCCCCCCCCCCCCCTCCATCTCCCCCACCATAACCATAACGTAACGCCTAAGTCGGGCATGTCCCTCTGCAGGAGGAAAATTCAGAAATAGTCCTAAAATAGTCTGGGGACGATTTGTTTTATTGCTTGACTATTGTTAAACTGTTTTTTGACATGTCTTATGATTTTTCTCAGATCCGCCTGTAGGAGGACATGCCCGACCTGACGTAACGCTCCCTCCCAGCCCCAGTGCCTCCCCAGCACTGCAGCAGTGCGTCCGGAACCGCAGTCTGTGGTGCCGGACGCACACAGCGGAGGGGCGGCATTACAGCATGCCCCCCTCCCGCCCCCCCTCCCCCCCCCCCCGCCCGTCATCGCGGCGAGTGAGGCAATGCTTTATACGTTGCAACTTTGTGGGATCTCGTCTGTCCTGTAAGCTGCTGCCTTTTCTAATCTCCAACGTCGGTTCGGCACGGATGCGGCGCGGATTCGGAGTGGCTCCGACGCGCATTCGACGCGGGCCAGACGAGGCTCCGATCCGCATGGCGGCCAGATATTTCAGGCAATGTCCCTCAGAGATGCAGCATGTAGAAGGTTCGCGGCCGCCGTCGCGACCTCACGACCGCCTGGCGGCTTGAACAGGATCCTGGCGGAGAGGTATTTCGATGTTCCTCGATCAGTGCTTGCACTGAAGGGGTCCTAGCGGAGGTGAAAAGATTTGGCGAAAGTTTCCCGCCGATTTTCGTGGCATTCCGGGTTCCCGGGTTCCCGGTTCCGGGTTCCCAGGTTCCCGATGATTGGTCCTGGGCCGATTTCGGTGGGTTTTGGGTTCCCGGGCTCCCGGGTTCCCGGTCGATCTGATTGGTTTTTTTTCGCGTGCACTCCCCGCGCGTTTCGACCCCTTCACCTTCGGCAGGGGTGTCATTCCGAGCGGCTCTTGGGCGGTCCTGGGGCACGGTGAGTCTGAGAGCCTTCGGACCGAGGCCGAAAGCAGCCAGAACCCGTCCTTCGTGTTTTTGTTGGTCCTCCTCCTCCTCCTCCTCCTTCTCTTTCTCCTCCTCCTCCTCTTCCTTCTCCTCCTCCTCCTCCTTCTCCTCCTCCTCCTCCTCCTCCTTCTCCTCCTCCTCCTCCTCCTCCTGCTCCACTCTTGCAGTGACGAGGTACACCGACTGCCCCCTGCGCACCACGCCTTCTCGGCTTGGGGCAAGTCGCTGTGCGACGAGGTAGCTGCCTATCCCCTGCTCGTCGGTGCGCGCGCCTTCGGGCCCACTTCCTCCCGCAAAGGGAGGCCGGGGGTGCCGGTTGCCTGTCATTGCGGACCATTCTTGGATCCATGATTCCCCCTCCCCCTTTCGAACAAAAACGAGAAACGGGGTTTGAGGAGTTCCTTGGGCCCGCGTCTTGAACGGTGTACGACCGTCGTATGTCTTTTTGGGATTTCTGATCGCCTTTCCCCGTGCGCGGTCTTCCGTCCCCGTTCCTCGTCGTTTTTCTCGTCGTCGTCCGCTTTTCGGGACGATCGAAATGGGTACGGACAAAATGGGTACGAGGCCCAACAGCAGTGCCTGTTCATGTTGAACACGATTCGCTGTCCGCGCCGCCGCGGGATTTGTTCTTTGAAGACGCACGCCGCGTGCCCAACAGCGGACGCTGTCGGTTCTGTACAACATGTATTCTGTAATAAAGGGAGGGGGGTCTCATTTCGGGGGGGGGGTCTCTTCCAGGCTATCCTGGAGGGCCTGGGGGGGTCTGGGGACGATGTTTTGGAGGGTTCTCCCAGGGGGGGGGTCTGAAACTTTCCGTCTGGGAGGGTTGAAACCCCTTCTCTTTTATTACGAAATCTGGAGTATCTTTTTTTCCGCACTTATTTCGGGCGTCAAAATCCTTGTCGTCCCAGGGCCCACTTCAGTCCGACCGAGCCGATTCGACATCACTTTCGGTCGGCCCAATTCCGGTTCGAGGAAGATATCTCGGCTCGCCAAGGGCCCGACTCGGCCCGATGTTGGCATGGCGTTGCTGTGCATCCTGGCACGTCCGAATTTACTCGGCTTGCATTTTGACTCGATTTTTTTTGGTCGGGGTCGATGCGGATTGCTCTCGTGAGGCCTGACAATGTCGCGCGCGACGACACAACGGGCACCCTCAAGTGCAGGGCGGGCAAATGATGCCCATTCGGGCGCCCCTACCGTGTTTCGGGGACGCAGGACGAGAAGGGGCGATAGTGAAACGGAAGCGACGCCGACGAGAGCGAAACCGATGAGGAGGAACAAGTAGATAAAGAGAAAGCGCAGAAGGAGGAGGAAGGGGAAGAGGGTGGAGGGAGAAGGAGGAATGAGGCGGAGGAAGAAGACGAAGAGGAGGAGGACGAGGAGGAGGACGAAGAGTCAGGATCTGGTCTTGGGGTCCTGCCTCGGGCCTCGATTCTGGCACGCCCGAAACGCATGTTTGCATTTTGGATCTGGAACCTTGGCCTCGTGGGGTCTCGTCTGACTGGGGTCTCGTCGGAGGACTATCGGGGGCGTCTTGTAGGCAGCTGTTGGACTTTTTGGCAACCTCCTCGGAGGTTCTTGGGGGCGTTTGGGTTTGTTTTCGGACTCCCTTAGGGCTTCTTGGGGCGTGTTGGGGGCTTTTTGAAGCAACCTGGGGGCGCCCCGGGGCCGAATGCTGGAAATGTGGGTTCGAGTTCCCCCCTTGGGCCCCCTTTTGGCGTCGTCTGGGGGCCCTCTGGGGCCGTCATCGCTGTTTTTGTGGCTGTCTTGGGACCCTTTGTGGGCCGTCTTGGAGCTGTCCTAGGGGTCTTTTGGGCCGTCTTGCACGTCACGAAAGCGCAAGCGGCGAATATTGGTAATCATATTGTTTCCTACAGGAATGGTGCAATGTTTCACATATTCGGTGCCTCTTGGGAGGCCTCTTGGAACCTTTTGGAGCGTTTTGGAGGCATCTTGGGCCGTCTGGATGCCATCTTTGCCGTTTTGGAACGATCATTCGACGCTTCGAGGCCCTCTTGGATCGTCTTGGGGCCCACTTGGGGTCCTCTCGGCCCGTTTTGGGGCCCTCCATGCTCCCATGACGCGTTCGTCCGGGACCAAGGGGGGGTCAAATCTTTGGTTTGGCGCCCCTGGGGGGGGTGTTGGGGAGTACAATCTTACACTCCTAGAGACCCACAAGTCGAGTCTACGAAGCAATGCCTATAATGTCTACTGTATTTCCCTGTCGAGTGGTGTACGCGTTTCTTGCGTATTCGGCGGGAAAATCAATCTTGGGGTAAATCAGTTCTGTCGTCGATACCCAAGTGATCGTTCTCATATTCATTGTTTTGCCGATCGGCGCGCGTCCTCGCACCCCCCGCCGCCCCATGGAGTAGATCCTGGCTGCTCTTCACGCTTGTTCCCAGCAGGTGGAGCTTTCCCCATAGGACGCAGTGCTGCAAACAGTCGCATTCAGCAGAGGTCCAGAGCCAGACTCCCTTCCATTTCCGCCCAAGGTCGAAACGCCGAATCTGAGAACGCTCACCTACTTGAACAATGGCTCGTCGTGGGCCCTCAAGGTTCCCATATGTTTGAGAACATGTATATACGAAGCGATGCTCATGATGTCCCACAGATCTAAGAACATGGTACGCGCCTCTTGTACACTCGGCGGGGAAATCAATATTGGGGTAAACCAGATCTGTTGTCGATCCCCTACCCGAACAATGATTGCATGTCCCAAGACATCCGTATTCTTCAGTTTTTGTTGGATGCGTGGGCTCCAGAGGTCTGGACCACTTCCCTATGACCGTTTTTTTCGTCCCGAGTAGTTTTTTGACGGTCAGGGCCCGGCAAGGGCCCCCGGAGGCCGAACACAACCTAAAACCGCCCGCTCCAATTTTTCTGAGCGTCGGATCTCTGGGTCGTGGGCCCTCAATGGCCTGTTTCTTGTTAGACCCTGGCAAGTTGACTTGCATCGACGGGGGGGGGGTTGGGGGGCCTAAGCCTGAAGCAAGCCGCAAACGATTTGCACGCGCGGAAATCACGCAAGTCGAAAGGCACGCGCACGCGAGTCTTCGTTCTGCAGAAGAGCGGGGGGGGAGGGGGGCGAACGCCATGCAAGTAAATTTTTGCGTCATGAGATAAAGAAGAGACAACAGCTTCCAAGGCTCTCGGCCCCTCCCCGGGGCCCTCCCTGGCCCCCGCCGACGGGGCGCGGCGCCTGTGCGCGGCTCTCCCTTCCCCCAGCGGTTCCCCGACGGGGCTCGGGCGCCGCTTCTGGGCGCCGGCGGCCGCGCGTGTCGCCTCGGGCGGGGCAAAAAAGCGGAAGGCCCGCCCCGGACCGCCTCGCCCAGCGCCCCACCCGGCCGCTCGCCACAGCGAAGGGGCCCAGGGGCACCGGAAGGAACAGGCACCAATCCCAGGAGGTCCCATGTGCTCCACACTTTGTGGATCCTTCCCCTCTCCTGGGCGCCTGCGGTGGCGCGTGTCGCCTCAGGGGGGGCACGTACCCCTACCAGGCGGATGCAGATGGTCAAAGAGTATTCTTGAACGTATTCCCTCTGTAGAAGGGCACGCCCGACGTACAAGTGTCGCCCGAGCCTGCTCGTCAGAACACGTATCCCTCACCGGGGCCCGATGGCCTTGGGGCCCGAAGCAGACCGTCCGAGGCTCGCGACGGCGAAAACTATCCGTCTGATCAGAATGTCGAAGCGGGTCCAATCGTCCGTGGATGCCCAGAGACGTCCAGAACTTTCGACCCTCGAACATTAGATCCGAGACGTCGACGGACACCAAATCCGCTCAGCAACGGTCCCTGGACCCCTCCCGGGAACCATCCTGTATGGCCAGCTTCCCCAGCCATGCCGCGCCGACAGGAACCTCCAGAGACTGACAAAAAGCTCCGAAACGACGACGACGACGCCGCCGACGCCGACGCCGCCGCCGACGCCGACGCAAACGACGACGACGACGGCGACGAAGCCGCCGCCGACGCCGACGCCGACGACGGCGACGGCGACGGCGACGGCGGCGACCCGCGGCGCGGGCACGGGGGCGCCGCAGACGACGACGGCGAGCACGGGGCGGACTTCCTCCCGCCAGCGCCGATTTCGCCCTTCCAGATGGTCGGAGGCGGGGTGCAGAGGCGCCTTTCCGCGCGGCCCGCCCGCCCGTCCGCCTCCAGCCCGGCCTCGGGGCGCGGGGGTCGAGGCCCGGTGCCCAGGGAGCGATCGATGATCGCCGGAGGATCACAACGATCAATCATCGGGGCCTAAGAGACGGGGGTCAGTGCAAACGGGGGTCAGCCAGGGCACCGGATCCTGCAGGATCCTGCGAAGACCCTCTCTGGCTGACCCGGGTTTGCGAGCCGCTCGTGGCCGCGAGGCGGCCGCGCATATTGGCTGACCCGCTTTTGCGAAGATCTGCGTTGCAAATTTTGTTGTCTTCCTGCATTGCAGTTTTTGGTTTCTTGCTGACCCGGGTCTGGATTGACCCAGGTCAGAAGATCCCCGAAAAAAGACCAAACCCTTTTTTAGCCGCAGTGGCTACGCAGGTGACGTCTGCGCTGGCGACGGGATGCCTAAACGGGGATGCCGTTGAAGCGAAGGATGCCACCGTGCAAGAGGAGGAGAAGGGGGGAGGCGCGGCCGAAAAAGTTGCGGACGAAGCGAGCGGTTCAGGGGGGGACGGATCGCAACCACCTGCATAAGCACACCCACCCTCATACTTGTCAGCGGCGGTCGGTCTATATTGGTGAGGGTGGCCGATGGCCACCAGCCGTGCAAACAGTATCAGTGCCCACAGCCCACCCGTGTATACCGACCGCTGTTTCTTTTAAAAAGTCTGCTTGCACAGGTGAGGGTGGTTTGCGTTGTCTTCGGCAAGGAAAAGGTACCCATACCGTTATCCTCGCCGCATTTGTTTGCCTTTTTTTGGTGCCTTCTCGGAGGCCCTCGTCGCCACCGCTGGGATCGCCTTGCAGTTCTAGTCAGAGCGCGCCCAGGGAGAGGTCTGGGGAGCAGTGGTATCGGTACCTCTCGGTTCCTCCAGATCGAGGGTCGAGCTCGAGGGATCGATCGAACGAGGATCAAGATGGCAACGCTCACTCAGCCCACTATCACACATGCACCATCGGTAACAATCCACACGCACACCGCACAGTGGCTCAGGCAGAGTCCAACAAAGGGCCGTGAGCCATGCCTCCAGGCTGCGCAGGGCCACCGAGAGAGACCACTGCAGATGCAAGCACTGCAGCGTGTTGTGTCCACGCGTGGGAGGAGCGCTTGCTCGACAGCGACTCCGTTCACCGACGCGGAGGACATGAAGAAGAGGAGCTTTGTTTAGGTCTGGTGGGCCCTGGAGGCCCCGCGGTGCCTCCAGGGGGGGGGCTCCTGGGGGCCTCCATGGGCCGATCGGTCGACGAGGCTCGAGGGTCGAGGATCGGGGATTTGGGGCTCGAGGCTCGGCGATCGGGGCCTCGAGGTTCGACGAGGGAGGCTCGGGCGGTCGGCCTCGGGCGAGCGAGGCTCGAGGACCGACGGTGCCTCCCTCGTCTGCTGGCCCGTGGGGGGGGGGGCTCCCTCTCAGCAGCGGCCCCTGGACCCCTCGCGGGTTCCACCCTGGCCCCCGCCTCCTCGGGCGTGCCGCGCCGACGGGATCCTCGACGACGACGGCGACGACGACGACGACGACGACGACGGCGACGACGGCGGCGGCGGCGGCGACGACGACGACGACGGCGACACGCGGCGGCGACGAGCACGGGCCCGGCTTCCGCCCGCCACCGCCCGCCCCAGCGCTCGTTGTGGTCAGGGGGTGGCGGGGTTGGTCGGGGGAGGGGGCGGGCGTGATCCGGGGGCGTGCTGCCCAAGGGGCCCACCACATCATGCTCTGAGAACCCTTGTGCTATGATGTTCCACTTTAGCATGAGAACGTACCGGTGTCGCACTTTGGAGCACCAAGAAAGTACCGAAACTCGAGGGTTTTCACGTGTCGGGCCCTGGGAGACACCTGTTCGACACTGTTTCGACGCTGTTTCGACACTGTTTCGACACTTTGCTGAGTGTTCGAACGTCTGTCTGGGATGTGGTCCTGAAGTACGCTGGTTGTAGTTTGCACGAGATGTTCTCGGAACAGTTCTGGCCGAGGCTGCCTTCGTTTGATACAGTGGCTTCATGCTCTGAAAAACACACTGTTTCTGCTACTTCTTATCATGCTCTTGCCCAAAGAACTCGTCGTGGTAGGCCTAAAGGAATGCCTGGACGGTCGGCCCCTGGTCCACAGTCGAGCACCCTTAGAAAGTGTGTTAGCCAGGTGTCAGTCCCGCTCCACCGATACCGCGCAGCGTGTGTCTGCCCTCATTACGTTACCCGTGTCGCATTCAGGGGCTCTGTTGGACAAGCTCACGTCGGCGCCAATACACTTTCCGCAGACAGTCGATCCAGATTTTTGTGTTCGACGTCTCGAAGAAGCGAGGCGGCAACTCTCTTGGTTGCCATATGCAGGCCGTTTTCTAGCCCTGGAGCCGTCGATAAAGAGACTCAAAGATGGAAAGTCGGCTTCATTGGAAAAGGGGTCGAGAGGTCCAAGGGTACTCCAGATTTCGTAATAAAGGGAGGGGGGTCTCATTTCGGTGGGGGTCTTTTCCATGCTATCTTGGAGGGCCTGGGGGGGTCTGGGGACGATGTTTTGGAGGGTTCTCCCACGGAGGAGGTCTGAAATGGCTTGTCTTGGAGGGTCCAGACCCCCTCCCTTTTATTATGATATCTGGAGTACATGTCTCGACAAAAATCGGCTTGCAAGACGTCTGTGGAGGTTCGCGCATTCTTCCTCACCTGAATGTTCGCTCCGACATCAGGCCCCAGGAGCCTCACGCATCGATCCGGCTCGAGAAGCGCTGCAGGGCAATGAGGCCGATAGTTCTTGTCCATGACGCTTCGTCATACTGCAATCGTTCGCGACGTCGATCGGATTTGAGGGATCGAGGGTGCTTCCATGCCATGGTTGCTGACCCTCGTGGTTGCTTCTCGACGACGACTGCGAGGGCGGCAGGGACGGTGAAGCCGACGACGACTACGTGTCGAAGGTGTTTGGGCGTTTCTTGATGCTCTCGTCGCTACGGCCGACAAGTTGACCAGGACGGATCCTGGGAGTCTGCGAAGTGTCCACGGGAGTTGTATTTGAACTGATGTTTGCCGCCCCGATTCCCAACGTCATGAAACGATCAGGACAGAAGGTTTCGCCACTTTCAGACTCCGGGGGCCGTACGCGGGCGCCGGCTATCAAAAGACGGTCTGGGATTCCAGCTGCCCCACCCCCGCGGCCCACCCCTTTGGGAAGGTGTTGAGTCTCAGGCCCCCTTGCACGGGCCTATGGACCTCTCGACCATCGAGGGGTTCAGGGGCCCATGTCGGGAGCCGCCTCCAGGAAACGAGGCACGAGGCTCGAGGCCAGATGGAAGAGGAGGAGGAGGAGGAGGAGGAGGAGGAGGAGGAGGAGGGTCATGGTTGCCTCCCCTCGCCTCTCCCTCCGCCCTCCCTTCGTGTGTCTGTCTGTCCCCCACTTGCACTTCTTACAATCCGCACACCGCTGGCCACCCTTGGAAACGGTGCTCCGGTGCCCAGTTTGATCAGCCCCCCTGAGGGCCGACTGGCCCCGAGGGGTGCGGAGGCCACCTTCGGGCGAACCTTGCAGCCAACATATTTGAGGTGTCCGGAGGAGGAGGAGGAGGAGGAGGAGGAGGAGGAGCAGGACGAGGAGGAGGAGGAGGAGGAGGAGGAGGAGGAGGAGGAGTAAGACCAGGAGGAGCACAGAGGCTCTGGGCCGTGTTTGGGATTCAGTTGGAGTTCGGGCAAGCCTTTGGGACCTGCCACGGAGTCTTTGTGACGTCTCGAGACCTGTGGGCACGTCGTCGTTGTCGTCGCCATGTGTCCGAGGCCCCCCTCGCTCTGGCGTCGCCAGTTGTGGGTCGTGGGCCCCGGCTGCTCTGGACCCCTTCCTTTGGGCCAGCTGTTCGCCTCGGGCTCGTTGTGACTGTGATGGCCGATGGCCCCCGGGGCGGGGCTTGCAGCGGCGCTCCCAGACGGGGGGCCCAAACCCTCGGGAGCGAAAGAAGGACGTACAGTCAACCAGCAGAGTAAGGATGCGCGATAAGGATGCAAGGCCCTTGGACGCCGATCTCGAAGCGTTTCGAGCGGGGCGCGGCCAACGAAAGTGTCCGAGGAGGGACCCAGGAAGCAAGGACGCAAGGGCACCCTCGGGAGGGATGCCTATCCTTACCTACTCTGCGGGTCGACTGTACAGGCGCATGAGGCCTCGCTGTTTCCGAGGGCAGGCACGCACTGCGCGAATGCTCCTATCGCGCGGCTGGTCTCGCGGACTTGGGGGGGGCCGCCTGACGTCGACGACGACGGCGGGGTGCCGACGCCCGGGGCGGGGCCGGTGCCCGACGCCAACGCCGACGCCCGCGCCGCGCGGCTCGCTCGCGCGCAGCTACGGCGACGCCATGCTCCACCTGGACGTGGAGATCGTGATGCCCGGGCAGGCCTGACGCCCGGTTTGAGGGAGGACATTCGGACCGTCGGGCCCCAGAGCCCCCCTGGGACCCCGGCCCCTGACCCCCCTCTCAGGGTGGGTTTCCTGAGGGGTTGGGGGGGGGTCCTGCTGGGTCGTCCCCCAGGACCCCCCCCCCCCCCGGGGGGCTTGTTGAGGGGGTTAGGGGGGGGTGGTGGGCCTTCCCCCCATGAATCCCCCCCTCAAGGGGGTGCGGGGGAATAGGTGGACCCACTTTTGGGGCTCGCAGGTCATCATTCTTATCATCAGTCTCGTAACAATAATAATGACCATCCGCATCATTATCATCATCCTCATCGTCGTCATCATCATCATCATCTTCATCATCATCTCCATCTTCATCATCATCATCATCATCATCATCATCATCGTCGTCATCATCATTATTCGAGAGAGAACAACCCACCCCCACACCCACCAGGACGATTTTACATTTGTTGGGGAACTTGTGGACTTAGTCGACACGCCCGTGCGGCAACGATTGAAAATCGCGACATTACCCGTTTTGCAGCGTGTTTTATAAGCCCTTCTTCGATCAGTTCTTGCGTGCTTGATAGACGCGCCTTTGCGTTTATACAATTGCGACGTCACACGCGCGCGATGGCGCGATTTGAGCAATGTCCCAGGCAATTTCGTGGGCGGCAGTTTTTTGATTATATAGAGTTGTGGATGTTTATGAAACGCGCTTTTGTGTTTATAGTAATGTGTTTACCAAGCCCTCGGCCGTTGCATTTTTCGCAAGTTGCCATGGGCCTCTCTGTGGGCACATGCAGCTGACGACGGCCGTTGGGCCACAGGCGCCAAAGGGAAGACTTGACCATATGCAATGTGATGTGGGGGGTGTTGGCTCCTTCAATTATCATCACCATCACCATCATCATCATCATCACCATCACCATCATCATCATCATCACCATGGTCATCATCATTGTCACCATCAGCATCAGCATCAGCATCATCATCAGCATCAGGATCCGCGCCATCATCAAGTCCATCACGGTCAATATCATGAACAACATTATCGCCATGACCCTCATCGTCGTCACCATCATCATCACTGACGACACCAACAGCATTGTCTTCACCTCGTAGCAGCCCCGTCGCTGTCCGAGCGAGCCCTGGAGGCATCAGCCGTGTTTAGCGATTTTTTCTGTTGTGCCCCGCTGTGCCATGTTTTGTCCTGCGGTGTAGCGTGGCGTCCCGCGGTGTCCAATGCTGCTGCGCGGGTTCAGGCGGTGTTCTGCCGTGCCCTGTTTTGCCCTGCGATGTGTTCCGGTGCTCCTTGGTGCCCCGCGTGGCCTCGATGTCCAACGGTAAGTGCGAGTACGTGTCCGTTGTTGCGCGCGCGATCCTTCCACAGAAGCGAACCCTATGGCAATTCTCCGCAGAATGGGAACCTAGTGGAATCCTCCACAGGAGGAGTCCGAGTGTAATCGCCCACATGAAGAGATCCGGTTGTAATCATAAACAGAAGAAGTCCTAGTGTAGTGCGGAGGGGCGGACGCCGCAGGCACGAGCGGCGCGAAGCATAGAAAAGCAACTGCAACACAGGAAACAGCTTGTGCTTTCACAGGGAGAATGAAAAAAAAGCCTGAAACCTCCCAAGGGGGAGGAGGAACAACAAAAAGTTAGCCTGACGAAGGACCCAACCATAAGCAGTTGTGGATACCGCATTCCGGGTCCATCGTCCGACGCGTCTCCCTATGCGGCCACGAACAGTGTGAGGGGTGTGCCGCAATGGGCGGGGAACCGCATGCGGACCCTGTCACTGGGGCCTTCGGTGGAGCTCTGATGGGGCCACGAAGCGTGTGAGGGGTGTGCCGGAATGGGCGGGGAACCGCATGCGGACCCTGCCATTGGGGCCTTCGGTGGAGCTCCTTCTGGGGCCACGACTCGTGTGAGGGGTGTGCCAAAGTGAGGGGGGTGACGAGAGGAGAGGGAGGAGGGGGCAGCGGGAGGAGGAGGCTGAGAGGATGAGGAGGAAAACGAGGACCCAACACCACAGGATGGTTGGGAAAAATGAACCGTCGCCTCCGCGGAGGTGGGAGAGGAGATTTTCCACAAAAGGAATTCGGTTGCAATTCTCAAGAATCCGAGTGGAATCTTCCAGAAAAGCAGCTCCAGTGTAACCATCCATGCGAGGACAAGGAATCCGAGTGGAATCGTCTGAAGAAGGAAGCCGATGGTAGCATGGAGGGGCGGGCGTCGCAGGCACGAAAGGAGCGAGAAGCAGGCAAAACAAACATTCTGGTCCAGGGTCTGGCTCACCCCCCCTCATGCAGATGCCATCGCCCCCCCCCCTGTGTGCGCACCGCCAGCCCATGGCGCGGCTCCCTGCGCACCGCGCCGCGCACACGGCGGCGCAGCGCCCTCCCCCTGCGGTGGGAGGGCGGGGGCGCGCGCCGCCGCCCCCCCCCTTGGCGCCGCGCGTGCTGCGCCAGGGGGGGCGGGATGTGCGTCTGAGGTTACGTCGGGCATGCCCTCCCGCGCGATGGGTCACTCCCCCCACCCCTGTGGTTGTGCTGTGGTGCTGTGGATGTGGCGTGTGTGGCGTAGGACTGGTGCTCCAGGAGAGTTCCAGAGGTCGTCGTCGCCGCCGCCGTCGTCGTCGTCGACGTCGTCGTCGCCGCCACCGAAGGAGGAGTAGGAGGAGGAGGAGGAGGAGGAGGAGGAGGAGGAGAAGGAGGAGGAAGGTCAAGAGGAGGATGAGGAGGAGGCGTAGGAGTTGGAGGAGACATGATGTGGATGAGGAGGAGGAGGATGGAGACGAGGGAAGAGGAGAAGGGATGAGGAGGAGGGAAGACAGGGATGAGGAGGAGGGAAGCTGTGCCCTTTGATGCCCCCCCTCCCGCTGGGAGAGGTCACCTTCCACTGCGAGGTCTTCCCGCAGGAGGCTTGGAGCCAGGAGGCTTGGCCACTCCGCTCCGTCGGAGTCGCCGTCGTCCAGGTCGGGATCGTCGTCGTTGTCGTCGTTTGCAGCCTCCTCCCAATCCTTCGTCGCTCCTCTCCTCCCATCTCTCCTCTCCTCTCCCCTCCCCTCCCCTCTCCTCTCCTCTCCTCTCCTCTCCTCTCCTCTCCTCTCCTATTTCCTCTCTCCTCTCCTCCCCTCGCTCCTCTCCTCCCCCCCTCCCCTCTCCTCTCCTCTCTCCCATCCCTCGTCCCTCCTCGAGCCTCCTCCTCTTGTCTCCTCACTCGGCTCGCGCGAGTCCCAGCTGCGACGTCCGGGCCTGGCTGCCGCGGCGGCCTTCTTCTCCCGGGCACGGCAGGAGCACGGCCAGGGGCAAGACCTCTCTCAGTGGATGGCCCGAGCAGGCGTCCGCTTTGTCGTGCCCTCCTCCTCCTCTTCTCCGACGTGGCTCCCTGGAGCCAGGCCACCGCAGTGTCCGCTGTCCTCCCTCCTACTCGTCCTCCTCCCTCTCCTTCTCCCTCCTCCTCCTCCTCCTCCTCCTCCTGCTCCTCGTCCTCCTCCCTCTCCTTCTCCCTCCTCCTCCTCCTCCTCCTCCTCCTCCTCCTCCTCCTCCTCCTCCTCCTCCTCCATCCTCTCTTCTCTCGTCCGCCTTTGCTCTTCCGCGTGCCCTGCCATTCTTTGCTCCTCGTCCTTCCCGTCGCCGTCTCTGAGCTCCTTCTCTTGCCGTCTCTCTCTGCCTCTTCCTTCTCGGTGCTTGCTCAATTCCTCCTGGTTGTTCTCCAACCTTCTCCTCCAAACTCCACCATCTCCCTGCTTCTCCTCACTCGTCCCCCCCCTTTCTCTCCTTTCTCTTCTGTTTGGGTCTTCGCGCAGTCGCAGAGCGTACGTGCGCCTGGGAGAGCTCCCAGGAGACCCTCGTAGGTGGTGCGGGGTTTTCCCCGCCCCCAATCCCCCCTTTTCCACTCCTTCCCGTCCACCCTCTCTCCCTTCTCTTGCCTTCTCTCTCTCTCTCTCTCTCTCTCTCCTCTCCTCGCAATCGTCCTGGACCTCCTGCCACCTCCTCCCTTCCTCCCACTCTCCTTCTTCGCCTTCTCCTCCCTCCCGCGGTGCTTCGCATGGCTGACGGTCGAGGCACTTCGTTGGCGTGGCTCCTTGCGGTGGCATTCCTTCGGTCCCTCGCTCTGTCGCGTCGGTCCTCGGGCCCCTCGCGCGGCCGTCGGCCGCCTCGCCCTCTCCCCGCGGCCTCTCTCGCGGCACCCTCGTCGTCTCGGAGCCTCGTCGCTCCGCCTCGTGCGTCCGGGCCGCGGTCCTTCCCAGGCCCGGGCAGGCGGGACCGGGCCAGTCCGTGCTCCGCGCCCCTCCCCCCCCTCCCCGAAGTCCCTGGAGGCCTCCAGGGGGCCAGAAGGAGCCCACAGCGGCGCCCCGGATCCTCAATCTCGCTCCCCCCCTCCCTCCCTCCCTCCCTCACCTCCTCCCTCCTCCCCCTCTCCTCCCCCTCTCCTTCCCCTCTCCTCCCCCTCTCCTCCTCCCTCCGCCCCCTCTCCTCTCCCTCCCTCCCTCCCTCCCTCACCTCCTCCCTCCTCCTTCTCCTTCCCCTCCAGTTCTGGAGGCGCAGTGGCCTGGCCAGTTCTGACATCCCCGTATCTTGGTGCCACGAGGTGGCGGCGAGCCAGCTTTCAAATCGAGACAAGATTTTCGCTGGGGACGTGTCCACCCCAACCCTCCTGCTCCCTCGTCCCTCTGCCCTCCTCCCCTTCCTAGATCATCCCGTCCGTGATCCTCGAGCCCGCCCACCCCCTTCTTCCCCTTCTTGATCTCCCCCCTCCTCGATCCTCGATCCTCCATCCTTCCCCTCCCCTCCCACTCCTCGATCCCCCCTCCCCTCGGTCCACGACCCTCCCACCCATATCTCCCACTCCATGGATCCCCTCGATCCTCGATCCCCTCGATCCTCGATTCCTCTCCCCCTCCCTCCTCCTCGATCCTCGATCCTCGATCCCCTGGATGCTCGTCCCTCGATCCTCGATCCTCCCCTTCCCTCCCCTCGATCCTCGATCCCCAACTTCTCTCCCCTCTTCTCCGCTCTCACCCTCGGCCCCCCCCCTCCCACAGGGACACCACGGCTGACCCGTGGTCCCTCACTCCCCTCCCCCCCTCCCTCCCACACATCTCGGGTGTTGCCAGACGTGGTCCTGGCCCAAGGTTCCCCACATTGCGAAGGCCTTACGGCTTGTGCCGCCGACCCTGAAGGGGGACGACGACGACGACGGCGGCGGTGGCGGCGACGACGACGACGCTGACGTGGGCCAGAGAGATGCTTCTTGGGTTTTCTTCGGAAGGCTCTCGGGGCCATCTGGGGAGGAATTCGGGGGCCTCTTGGCAGCCTCTTGGGGGCCTCTTGTGAGCCCCTTTGCCCCCTGGGGCCTCTTCGGGCTAACCTCTTGGGGCCTCCTGGGAGACTCTTGGGGCCGAGGGCTCGACATGTCCGTTCGGGTCCCCCGTCGGGGCATGCTCTTGGAGCCGCCTTGGGGGCCTCCTGGGCCGCCTGGAAGGCGTCGTGGGGGGTCTTGGTGTCGTCTTGGGCTGTTTGGTGGCCATCTTGGACGCCGACTTCCACATCGAGGATTTCTTCCCCCCTCTCCTCCCCCACTTCCGTCATAACGTTTTGCCTCGCTGTTAATTTGCACGATTGCGTGTAGCTCATCGATTAGGTTTCCGGAGGCCACGGCCTACCCACCAGGTCCTAGGTCGGCCCGGACATTTGTCCGCAATGGTGGCTCGCTTCGCTTCGCTTCGCTTGGAGGCCTCTTGGGCCGTCTTGGGGCGATCTTGTGGGCCTCTTTGACCGTCTCGGAGCGGCGGGGAGCAGGACAGGCGAGAGCGCCCAAATCTCTTGAGAAAAGCCAGAGAGGAAGCCAATGCATTTTGCATCTGGGGGCCCTTCTCGGGAGCTCCTCCTCCTCCTTCTCCTCCTCATCCTCACACCACTCCTCGTCGTCCTCTTCCCCCCTTTCCAGAAGGAGCACTCGCTTTTTTGTTGTGTTTTGCTTCCCCTCCCACACACAAAAACTGGCGTCGTCCCACATGGTTTTTTTAGGGGAAGAAGAATCAACATATCCTTTGTGGCGCTTTCCAATGAAATCCCTTCGTGCGGTTTGTCCATAGAATCCCGCTGTTGGAGGCTGCTGGGGACGTCTTTGCGGCCTCCTTGGCAGTCTGGAGGCCGTGAAGGCGTTTGGGGTTGGTAGTTTGGCGATTCGGGGCCCTCTTGGACCGTCTCGGGGGCCTCTTCGGGCACTCTCGGCCTGTCTTGGTACGTACTTTCGGACCCCCCCCTGGTGCCCCTCCTGCCCCTCCCTGGGACCCCTCCCTGGACGACTGGGCCGACGACTGACGGAGACGACGACTCGAACAGGTAAGCCCCTCACGCACGCCGACAGGGTCGGCGTATTTTCTGAAGAGGCCCAGGTGAGATTCGAAGTCATTCGAAGCACCTCCCACGAGGCCCAGATGGCCCCGGCCTCAGGCACAGAAGCCTTCTTTCGCAGAGAGTCCCGCCCTCTGCTCGGTGGGAAGGTGGCGATATCTAACCCGTCCGGAAGCCAGGCAGTCGGTGCAGTCAACACGCTGAAAGGAGGACCGAGGGGCTCGAGCTTCCAGGCCGTTCCTTCGATTTATGTCGTGGAACGTACTTTTGTGGCCCAGGCACGCCGTGAGCAGAAGAGCCCCCTCGCTCCTGATCGTGCGCCCCTTCTGGTTGCACGAGGGTTGTCGTCGGGTGTCTGGGGCCCGGGCAGATCCTGTCGACGGCGCCCGTGTGCCTAGCAACACTGCCGAAGCCCCCCCTCGGTGCACCCCGCGCTCGCAGCACAGAAGAGCGACACTCACGCGGGGCCAGGCGCAGCTCGGCCAGGCGCAGAGGGAAGGCTTCTTAGAAACACCCTGCCCTTCCCCTCCTCCTCCTCCTCCTCCTCCTTCTCCTCCCCCTCCTCCTCCTTCTCATCCTTCGCCTCCTCCTCCTCCTTGCTTCCAAGATCGGGACGATCGAGGTGGGTACGGAGAGAATGGACACAAAGACCGACAGCATTTCTCGTTCATTTGAAACAGGATTCGTTGTCGGTGCCGCCGCTGGCCGTGTTCATTTGAGAGAGAGAGGGAGAGACAAGCAAAAAGGGCCGCCTACCCAACAGCGAATGCTGTCGGTTTAGGACAACATCTGTTGGTGGGCGTTGTGCCCATTCTTTCCGTACCCGTTTCGGGCGTCCAGACGAAAAGCGTTTCTTCTTTTCCCCTCACCCCATTCTGCGCGCCGCAATGCCGGGCCCAATATGTATGTATGTATATATATATATATATATAGATATGTATGTCTGTATGTATGTAGGTATGTATGTATATGTATGTATGTATGTATGTATGTATGTATGTATGTATGTATGTATGTATGTGTGTGTGTATGTATGTATGTATGTATGTATGTATGTATGTATGTATGTATGTATGTATGTATGTATGTATGTATGTATGTATGTGTGTGTAAATATAAATATATATATATATATATATATATATATATGTCGGGGTACGGGGCCGGGGGCCTCTTGCCAGGTGCCTCGACTCGCCATGGTGGGACCCCCCCCCCGGCCGGGCCTCTCCAGAGCCGCTCCGGGGCATCTCCCGAGCGGCTCTGGACGGACCCTGGTGCTGTTTCAGCATCAGGAATGGTTCCCATCTTCGACCCATGTCGCCGAAGCACGTGGTAGAGGTTTCGGGAGGCCTCCAACATGGCTCCGGACGCTTCCAGGAACACTGCCAAGAGAGAACTGGGAGGCCAAAATTCATGATTTTCCAACGATTTCGGAAGGATTTTGGCCTTTGGGTTTTTTCGGTTGTACGACGCTCCACGACGGCCCAGGAGGTCTCCAGGTCCGCCCCCAAGCAGCACCAGAGGCCCCCCAGACAAGCCCAAGGCGGCCCCGGAGAGCCCAAGGCTGTCCCAAGAATCGCCCACGACAGCCCACGAAGGCTCCAAAAGAAGCCCAAGAAGGGCCAAAGAGAGGGACCGCGTACCGAACACCCAGGGCTCCCTCCTCAACAGTGACCCCGGAGGCCCCAGGCAGCCCCCAAGAGTCCTCCAACATGGCTCTAAACGCTTCCAAGAGCACTCCCACGAGGGCCCCAGCAGGCCAAAAATTGATGGTTTTACAATAGTTTTCGAAGGGTTTTGGCCTTCCGATCTTTGCGGCTGTCCGACGCTCCTAGGCGGCCCAGGAGGCCTCCGAGAACGCCCCCAAACAGCTCCAGAAGCGCCCAAGGCCGCCCCGAGGCGGTCCCGGAGAGCCCAAGGTTGGCCCAAGAAGCGCCCAGGGCAGCCCACGAGTGCTCCAAAACAGGCCCGAGAGGTGTCAAGACACGGACTGCGTCCGGAAAACCCAGGGCTTCCGCCTCAAGACAGCCCCAGGAGGCTCCAGGTAGCTCCCAAGAGGCTTCAAACATGGCTCAAGACGTCTCCAGGAGCACCCCCAAGAGGGTCCCAACAGGCCAATCGTTCGTTCTACGTTGGACTTGGAGGATCTTGGCCTTCTTGTCTTTGTGGCTTTTCGACGCTCCCTTAGGGCCCAGCGCGCCTCCAGGTCCGCTCCCAGACAGCCCTGGGCGGGCCCAGAGAGCCCCAGGGAGCCCGCAAAACTGGCCCTACACAACCCAAAAGTTCCTCGGCAGGATAGTCCGGGAGGGGGGAAGACCAGGGGAGCCTCTGGCGCCCCATGCTCGGGGAACGCTCCCCCGGAACATGGCGTGCGAACGATGAGGATCAGGGATCTCCGTTCCCATGTTCCAGAAGTGCGCTTCCTGAACACGTGGCCTGCAGTGCACGCCGCCGTCTTCGTGGTAAGACTCGTCGCGGGCATCGCACCTGAGCGGCGACCTCAACTAGAACCTGAGCGCGCGCGAAGCGCGCGCGATGGTTCTAGTACACACACACACACACACACATATATATATATATATATAGATATACATATATATGTAAAAATGTATATACACATATATATATATATGTGTGTAAGTATAGATATCCTTGGGGCCTGCACGCCAGGCGGCCTCCCCTGGCCCGCCCCGAGGCGCAGTTCCTGGTGGACGCCACCCTCCCGGAGCGCCTCACGGCCCACCCCGCGCCCCCCCCGGCCCACAGAAACGGCGGCTCGTCCCGCCCTCCGCCGCCGACGAGCGAGCACGACGACGACGACCTTCGGAGGAGGAGGAGGAGGTACCCATACCTCCACCCCCTCCTCCTCCTCCTCCTCCTCCTCCTCCTCCTCCTCCTCCTCCTCCTCCTCCTCCTCGACGGCATTCGGAGGAGGAAGAGGTACCCATACCTCCACCCCCCCTCCGCCCGTTTGCCCCCCTTTTATGGGGCCTCCCTGGAGGCCCTCGTCGCCGCCGCAGGATTCGCTCGAAACGCCTGGTCAGAACGCACCCCGGGAGAGGTCCGGGGAGTATCGGTGTCGGTGCCTTCGGATTTCCCCAGGCGTCGACGACGGACGCCCACGACGCCCGCGACGACGACGCCGACGACGGCGCCAGCGGCGGCGACCAACGACGACGACGCTAGCGGCGGCGACCAGCACGACGACGATCTCGAACAAGGCAGCCGCGTAGTGGTCGGGAGGGCGGCTCCTCGTCGGGAGGAGACGGCGGCGGCGGCGGTGATTTCTGGAGGTCTTGGAGTCATCTTAATCAGTGTCCCCCCCCAAGAGGCCAACATGTCGTTAAAACTTTGGTAAAATCAATGATTTGGCATTCTCGCCGAGGCGTCTTGGAGCATTTTGGGTGCCTCTTCTGGGAGGCTGTTTTGGGGGCATGGCCTCTGTCTTGGGGTGGCCCCGGCGCCACGGCCAGGCTTCCGAGGCGCAAGGGGCCACGACAAGGACCCGCTCTTGGCCTTCCTGGACGTCTGGGACTCCCTGATGATGACACGTCCCAGGACTTCCAGGACGTCCACGACTTTCTGAGAATGAGACGTTCCCTGAGTTCCGGGACTTCCAGGAGCCAGGGGACGTGGTAACCCGAGTAAGCGATTAAGGACCCCCCCCCCCTCTCCGGCGAAAGGATAACGCACCCGGCACCCGGAAGCGTTATCCCGGCACCCGGAAGCGTTTCCTTAGCTTTCCTCAGCTTTTCTCAGCTTTTTCTTAGGTTGTCTAAGCTTTTCCTTAGCTTTTCTCAGCTTTTCCTTATTCGTATTCGTATTCTTATTCTCATTACAATTCTAATTGGGATGCCACCCGAGGCGGGGCGCTGGAATTATTTATTTTCCTTCCATTTGCGCGGTGCTAATAATATCGTTCGGCGAAAACCCCCCCAAATGATTATTTAATTACGGCGCGGTGCTAATGATAACGCCGGGGGGTTCCTTAATTGCTTCTCCGGGTTAATGATCGCTCCAGGATTTCCAGGATGTCCCAGATGTCCGGATGCTCCACAGGGGGTGCAGCAACGACGGCCGCTGGAGCCTCTGGAAATCCTGAAGCGCAACCTGCGCCAAGCCTATCCTGACATCATTTCCGTTCCGAGACTCGCCCAGAGATTCTGGTCAGAGAGCGCCCTTCGGGCGCGATTTTCGGCACGGTTCTTGTCCCCAGAATTTCGTGCCTAAATGTGCGAGTCCAGACGTCGATGCCCGGCATCATGTCTCGCTGATGAAAAAAAGTGGGCGCCCCTGGATAGACCCGAGGGTCGATATGTCATAGCCTCCACCCCATCTCGCCCGGGGCGTTTTTCGTACTTGAGGGGTAATAAATGGGTGTGGGGGGGCATCGAGGGTTGCAGGAAAGGGGCCCTAAAGGGCCCCCTTGAGTCCCCGAGCCTCTATTCAGTCCACGGTTGATCTCCCCAATTTGAGCATCGTCCGATCGCCATCGCGCATGGGCCACGGGTCGTGGGTGCGAGGACGAAGGCAACGACGTCGAGGGCGACGCGTCGTTTCCGCGACGTCATCGCGGTCGTTTTTCCGCGGGCGTCGTCGTCGATTCGGAGGATGATGAGGACGAGGAAGAAGAAGAGGAGGAATCGGAGGAGGCGGTGTGGAACAGCATCGATGGAAGTTTGAGGACGAGGAGGAGGTGGGGATGGGGGAGAGTGGAAGAGGGGAGGGAGCAGCTGGATGAGGGGCAGGCGGATGAGGAGGAGGATTTCGTTTTGTAGTTGGATTATCAGCATGAGAAGGAGCAGGAGGAGGTGGCGCATGTGGAGAATGATCAGCGGGAGCTTGAGGAGGATGTGGGGGCAATAGGAGGACGAGGAGGCGATGCGAAGAGGAGGGACGATTGAGGAGGATGAAGAGGGGGTCGAGGGTGGATCCTGGCGAGGAGGACGAAGACGCGAGGCGCAGGGGTAAGAGAGGGGGGGGGGATTCACCAGGACTGAGTTTGAGAATGAGGAGGAACACGAGGAGGATGAGGAGGAGGAGGGCCACATTCCGGATGATGACGTGCTGGCGAACCGTCTTGAGAGTTGTCCGATGATGAGGATGAATGGTAGGATGGCTATTGAGGAGGACGACGAGGAGGAGGGAACGTTTTGACAGAGGAGGAGGAGGAGGAGGAGGAGGCGGAGGCGGAGGATGAGGAGGAGGAAGGGGAAGGAGTTTTTGGTTTCGGGGGGTCTCTAGGGTGTTCCACATGGCTCTAGAGAGGTTGAGGAGGAGGAGGAGGAGAACGAGGCAGAGAGGATAGAGTCAGATTAGGAAGTAGGAGGGTGAGGAGAAGAATGAGGGCTGGTAGGTAGTAGGGGGGATTCCAGCAACATCTAGAGGTTCCATGGATGAGGGGGGGGTCCCGCGAGGTTCCAGGAGGTCTCAGGTCCAATGAATGCCAGAAGCGTTCAAAGCCCTTCAGTGCTGATTGAGCAGATTGAGTGGGGTGTGAGTTGCTGACGGTGTGGGCGCTTGGCCCCCATGCCCTGCCCAAGAAGAGATCGATTATCAGGGTTCGGCAAATCGTGGCGTTCTTGAACCTTTGGACCTCGGCGCCCTCGTCGATAGCTGGACTCGCATCGAAACCTTTTTGTCGGATCACACCGTGGAAGAGGTCCGGGGGCCGACGTTTGATGGTGAGGAGGGAGCAGGATGAGTGGGAGTATTCAGGATTTCAGATGCTTTCTCCTGGAAGGGACGCGATAGTCTTCAGAGGATCCCCGAGCCATCCAGAGGCTTCCATGCAGAGGGGAGGAAGAGAAGGAGGATAGGAAGGGTGAGGTTACAGACGTCTTATTTGTTTCCGTATTCTATGGAACCCCCAGGACTCACGACCCCAGTCTTTTTGGCCTCGAATCTGTTTGATTGCGAAAATTCAGCCATGCCGCCGACCTGCAAAAGGTGGATGGGCGAATGTGATTCTTTCCGCGTCCCGTATCCCCAGCATCCCATCAAAAAATCATATTTGCACAAACAGTGGAAGAATATCATGAAGCGTGCTGTGAAAAGACATGTGCACCTGTTGCTTTGTGGTGATCCTGGTGGTCAGGAAGGGCCGCAGGTCGGTCTCAAGAGTGCGAAGATGGCGAACCATGCCAGCCGTGTTTTTTGCTCCGGACGCTGGACTTAAATCGGGCCTGTCATTCTCCAGAAGGAATAGTTCAAAATAGTTAAAAACCTAGTAGGGGGACCATTCTTTTTATTTTTGAGCATTTGTTGTAACATTTCTGAGTATTTTTGGAACTTTGGCACAACCTCCCCCTGTAGGGGGACGTGCCCGACTTAACGCTGGATGCCTGGGTCCTCTGGAGGGCCTCTGGCAGCCCACCGATGTCCTGGGTGAACTCACGGGATGGGTCTTTGTTGAGGCCCCTGGAGGCCCCGAAGAGGCGCAGACGGGACCGCAGCTGCCCCAAAACCTCGACCTCGACCGCCGATCCTCGATGATGTGTGTGCCCTTCGCGGCCGCCGGCGCGGCCGATTGCCGCCACCCGACGACCGCTCGCTGTCGACGTCGACGTCGCCGCCGCCCGCCGCCGCCGTCGTCCCCGCCGTCTCAGCATTCGGTCGGTTCGATGCGTTGGGTTGCTGCGCCGCTGCGTCCTTGTAGGCTGTCGGTGTTTGTCTGTCGGTTTGGGTCCGTCGTCCTTTCGGTCTGTCGCTTGCGGTCTGCTTCGGTTTCGCGGTCGGTTCGGTCGGTTTTCGGTTTCGATGTCGACGCGTTCGCCTACTGCAGGGGGAAAGGACTGCAAGATGAGGAGGATGACTTGTTTTCATGTTTTCAATAGCGGGGGAAAGAGCGGGTGGAGCGAGTCTTGGGGCCCTTTTTGCCCTCCTTCCTCCTCCTCCTCCTCCTCCTCCTCCTCCTCCTCCTCCTCCTCCTCCCCCTCCTCATCCTCTTCCTCCTCTTCATCCTGCTCCCACATCATCATGACCATCGCCATCATCGTCACGACGACCACCACCACCACCACCATCACCGCCACCACCATCAGCATCATCGTCATCATCATAATCATCAGCATCAGCATCAACAACACAATCAGCATCACCACTACGACCATCACATTCATCATCATCCTCATCAGCATCATCAGCATCATCATCCTCATCACCATCACCATCATCCTCCTCCTCCTCTTCCTCGTTGTCGTCGTCGTCGTAACCATCATTAGTTGTACCACCAACCGTCCCATGGATTGACGAGCTGCGCAGAGGAGCGCGCTCGGACGCCCTCGCCCCCCGCCCCGGCAGGCCAGCTGGCTCTCCCCGGGGCACCTGGTCGCCACCGTGCCGCTGCTCGAGGCGCTTCCCCCCTTTTCGGGAGCGGCAAAGAGGGGGTGGACCATGATAGTTCCCCGATTTCATGGCGTCTCTTCTTATTTTATTACGTTCCTCGCCCCCCCCCTGGGGCCGCGCACATGCCGCCGGTCATGATTTGCACCCCCCCCTCTTGGACAGCTCTTCTGCTACCCAAAACGATATCGGAGATCGGGGTCTGAAGATCGGAATGCAGGTGTCTGAGCGTTTTGGGTCCTGTGGGGAGGCCTCCAGGTGAATCGGGCGCTCTGGGTGCCGCTGGGGCTTCCGCGGGGGAACTGGCTGGCCCCCACGCGACGAACAGGGCCTTCGATTTCTAGCCATACTCAGGGAGGCAGCCACTGCTGCTGAAGTACACGGAGGTCGCCTCCAGGGTGCCCTGGGCTGCCTGGGTCTCGATGGCTTTGCTGTGGACAGCGTGACGCTTCCACACCAAGGATCAACGGACGGCCTGAGGTCTCAGGGTTGGGTTTCTTGTGGAAGTCAGAGCGTGAATTACCTCCCCCGCTTTCGCTTCCAGGCAAAACCAAGCCATACCACGCGCCTCCTCGTCAAGCGGCCTGACCAGTACAGGCCGCAATTTGGCATCGTTTGGTATCTCTTGGAAGCGAGGGCGGTCAAGAGCGAGGAAAGGTTTGTTTTCCCCTGAGGAAGGCTTCCTGTGGACTGGCCTCCACTGTGCATGCTTTCGTGCACCCGGCTGCGTTGGGCACGTCCCGCCGCCGTGACGGCGCAGTGCTCTCGGCGTGGCGACGCTTCGAGCACCGAGCGCCGCAACATGTGATAGCTCTCGTTTCTATGCCTTGAGGGGCTCTCCTCCTCCTCCTGCTCCTCCTCGTCCTCCTCCTCCTCCTCCTCCTCGTCCTCGTCCTCTGCCTTCTCCTCCTCGTCCTCGTCCTCCTCCTCCTCCTCCTCCTCCCCCTCCTCCTCCTCCTCCTCCTCTTGCTCCTCCTCTTCCTCCTCCTCTCACGGTCGCAAATGATGGGAGCCTTGTATTCCTCGGCATTTCCGCCTTCAGCGTCGATGTTGCGTCGGCCAGCGTCGATTAGCGTCTTGGAGTCGATGAGGTAGCGTCGGTTAGCGCCGATTCAGCGTCGATGTATCGTCGATGTAGCATCGATTCAGCGCCGATTCGCAAGAGCCGGCAAGATGGTATGGGAGGCTCCTATGCGTTGCCACGGAAGGATCTCATGGTGGGTTGGCTTGGCCGTCATTGGTCTGTCTCGTGCTCCCGTGGGGCCCGCCTAAGGCTCCCTAGGCACCCTTTGAGGCCGTCTCTTGGTGTTGTCATGGGCTGGCTTGGGCCCCTCCTGGTGCCCGTCTTGGGCGGCCTCTGGTAGAGGCTTTCAGTGGGCTCGCTTGTTCTTACAGTGGAGGCGCATACCAAGAAGCATCCTGCTTGCCTCTAGGGTTCCCTGGGTTTCTTGGGTCTCGATGGTTCTGCTATGGAACGCGTGACGTTTCCACACCAAACATTAGTGGACGTCTTGGGGTCTCGGGGTTGGGTTTCTTGTGGACGCTTTCTTGTGGTCGAGCTCCTATTGTAATTGATGGCTCATCCGAGGCTCTTTTGGAATCACCTTGAGTCCAGAGGCTCAGGCAGCGCAGCATGCTGAAAAAAACATGGCTGTTCTCTGGTGGTTGAGAGGTTGCGGCCTTTCTGGAGGGCCTCTTGGCCTCCGCTTTGAGGTATTGGAGGTTTCTTGGGGATCCTTTGGCTCGAAGAAGAAAAAGAAACGCCATGAACATAAGCTTTTGGCGCTCCGCAAGGCTTTCTCGGATCGGCGCGTGCCCCCCCCCCGTCGGCGCCTCCGGCGCCGTCCCTGGTGCGCCCCGCGCGCCAGGGTGGGGGGTCCTGCGCAGATCCAGGCATTCCGCGCAGAGTGCCAACAGTTTATGTACATGCCATTTTTCTGTCTTCTATTGGCGCCTCTTAGGGCCTTCCTGGAGGCTGGTGGGCATCCTCCTGGTGGGCCGTGCTGGACCATCTCGGCGGCCTTGGTGTGACTCCCAGGTCGTCTTCGAAGCCGTGGAGAGCACTCGAGAGCCCCAGGCATGCGCGGGGGCGGCCCAGGGAGCCTCGAGAGGGCGGGGGAGGGTGGCGCAGGGAACCGTGCGCGTGGCTGGGAGCGGGGGGGGCGCTTGGAGCACCTACGGCTCAGTCTCGTTTAGCCGACCCCCATTCCCATCCCATCCCTTTCGAGACCCCCACCAAATTACCCCCCCCCAGTTGGGGATACACCCCTCGAAACCCGGAGGGAAGGGCCTCTATCCCCATCTAGGGGGGTAAATCGGCCAGTGGGGCCCAGGCCACGCCGCTGGGGAGGGGGATCGGTTGAACGATACTCAATGGCTCACACTACCAGACAGCACCTTACATTCGACCACCAGGGAGGAGCATGCCCGCAGGTACTCCGATCATGGCACCCCTGGAGCGTCGAACGACACACCCGAGGCTGCACGGGGGCTCAAGACTCGGATCCTCGATCCTAGGTCCTGGGCCCTTCTCGATACTCTGTGCTCGGCCCCGCTCGGACGTGTGCATCTGTCTCGGCGGGGACCATCGAGGAGGGTCCTGGATCCCCTGGCAAAGAAAGAACGCACGGAACCGAAAAAGGCACGTCCGAGCGATGGCGCAAGTAATGGCTCGCTGCCGTAATGTGCGCCAGCTCGCTCCGGCCGATCAGTCCCACGTCGACCCCCGTTCGCACACAGGCACGCGCGCGCCGAGGGCGCGCCAACACACGGCGAGTTGCGCCGACGGTGGCAGGCTGTACCATGTTGCACCCCGTCGGGCGCCCCCCCTCGGCGAAACACTTCTGACCGAACGCAGAGTAGGCCCGACATCGAAGAAAACAACCTGCATGAGCATCAACTTTCGGCGCTCCGCAAGGATTTCTTGAGTCGGCTCTGGGCGCCCCTGGCGGCGCCACCGGCGCCGCCCCTGGCGCGCGGAGCGCGCCAGGAAGGGGGGTCCGGCGCAGCCAAGAAATCCGCTCGAAGCGCCACCAGTTCATGTTTATGCTGTTTTTCTTTTTTTAGAGTGGGCCTGAAAGCGCGCTGTCGCGGGACCCAGAGGAGTCCTCCGCGAGGACGGAAGGGGGGGGGAAGCCTCCAGGGTGCCTTTTGGGAGCCTCTTGGGGGTCTCCTGCTGCAGGGACCTCCTGGGGGCCTCTTGGGTGCCTCTTGGGGGGCATCTGGGAGGGCATCTTGGGGGCCTCTTGGCGGCCTCTTGGCGGCCTCTTGCGGGCCTCTTGCCGGCCTCGTGCGGGCCCCTTGGGGGCCTCTTTCGGGCCTCTCCGCGGCCTCTCCGCGGCCCCTTGGTCGAGGCGAGGCCCTCAAGAGGCCCCTGGCCTCCTCGTCGTCGGCGCGCGCTCGGCCTGGCCTTCCCCTTCCGCAGGGCGTGCACCGCCTGACGTGGCTGTGGCAGTACCGGGAGGCGAGGCGCGCGCGCGCGCGCGGGCGCGCGCGCGCGGGGCCGACCCAGAGATTCAGAACGATCCCGGGGAGGCCTGTCCGAGGGAGGTTTTGTCCGGATCCCCGCGGGGTTGTCCAAGGGGTGGTTCGGGGTCGGGCGTCCTGCCGTCGGGGCTGCCCGGGCTGGTCCGGGGGGCTCTCTGGTTTTTTGTTTTTGTCGATCGGGTTCTGTTCCAGTGGATATCCGGTCGACCCCAAACGAGTTCCAGCGACAAGGGGGTGGTGCAAGAGATCAGGTGCAGTAGATCTGCAGGGGGTGGCGATAATTGGGGGGGTGCAGTACGTTCCGGGTCCCAGATGTATTGCTGGATTTTCGCGTGCAACGCTTTGGTTGCAATATACCATGAAATGCAATTCTCCGGCGCAGTACATTTGCAATAGAATTGCCCCAGCTCTATTGCACCACCCCCTTTCAGTTAGACTCCCATTTGGGGTTCTCCGGGAATTCTTTCCCGACGCGGTCGTGGAGGCTACGGATGGGGAGGGGGAGGCGGAGGAGGAGGAGGAGGAGGAGGAGGAGGAGGAGGAGGAGGAGGAGGAGAAGGCATCTGGCCGAGGGGCTGGCCGGGGACCGATCGCGATCGGCCGATCGCGCCCCTCCCGGCTGGGCCCCCCGCCCACGGCCGGGCCTCACGCGCGCCGCGGCGGGTCGGCCATCGGGCCCGCCGCTGCCGCGCCCGCCAAGCAGTGGCACGAGATGCACACCGGCTGGAGCCAGCCGAGACCACGGAGACCGCCCCGCGCGGGCGAGACAGCACCAGCGCAGGAGACGCTGAGACAGCAGCAGGCGGCGGCGCGCCGGCTGGGATTCGCGGCCCGCCGAGGCCACGCCCCGCGCGTGCAGGACGTCGCCATGCTGATGCAACCTGAGAAGCAGTACAATCAGGACTGGTACACGCGCAGCTGGCACGAGGAGTACAACCAGTCTGAGTACAACCACTCGGAGTACAACCAGAAGAAGTCGGAGTACAAGCAGTCGGAGTCCCAGGGGCGCGAAGGCTGGACGCCAGCTGGGCCCGGCGACGAGAAGGAGCTGTTCGGCATCCTCGACGGCGTCCAGGGCCAGCTGGCCAGCCTCACCGCGGCAGTCTGCCGCCTCGAGGCCGCGGTTGCGGTGCCGCCCTCAGGTGGGCAGACCGGCTGCGCCTCGTGCCTGCGCGCAGAGGCGGCCACGTTCGTGCCAGCCGAGCGGGCCGTCCCCGCCGTGGCCTACCCGACGCCGAGCCGCGTGGGCGAGGCCGCGGCGAGCGCGCTGGCCGCCAGCCAGGCCCGCCGCCGCGCCGCTGCCGGCTCCAGGTGTGCGGCCGACTGCGCTGGGAGCGCCGCGGACAGCCGCCTCGCGCACCACGAGGAGCAGCTGCAGGAGGCCGCCGCCAGGACCCGCAACTGCCAGGACCCGCAACTGCTGGGGCAACGCCCCATCGATTGGCAGCTGGTGCAGGCCCAGTGGGGCCCGGTGGCCGCGCCCGCGCAGGCCGCCCCTGGCCAGGACTCCACGG